TCGCCACAAGCGGATTTGGCGTTCTGCCAAGCTACGTAATATGGAAACGTACGCCATGCCTGGACCGTACGACTGGGAGACGATGCCTAGAGACGGATTCGTGGAAGGAGAAGGCAGTGTCTACGTGGCGGAAATTACAGAGAAGTCGCTTTCACCGGCAGCAAATATTCTGCGGGCAACGAGTTCATCCAATATGGAATGTATTAGGCAAGATAATATTCTTCTATGGTACAGAAAAACCGCAGGTAACCTTGAAAAAGAGAAAACAACCAAGCAACAACAGTGTATCAAATGCCAGCTTCCTCTAAAACACCAGGTGGATGACGAACGAATGCAGAGAACCCTATGGCCGAAAAGAGCGAAGGGAGTAAAAAAGATATCAAACGAAACGAGAACCGCCCCTCCCAAAGATGCTAGACTCCTGTAGTTTTGACGACCGTTTTTCGTGCTTTCGAAAACTCCCACGTTGTGTTGTGCCGAGTGCATGCCATCTCCTGGAGAATGAAAGTCCGTAGAACGCCTTACCCGACCCAAGGAAAACGACAAAATAGGAGATGAAAATGAAAATGAAAATGAAAATGAGGAAGGTGTTTTCATCTTTCCTCGTAGAGCCTTCTCAAGGCCCCATTCCAAGAACCATAGTTTAGGCATCATGCATAAGCTCCACAGGAGGCCTAGCCGTATGCGTAACAAGCTTAGGCCGCGACTTATCGACGGGACTGTACGACTCAGGCTCATCCGTCAAGTCCTCCACGGCAATCGCAGGCAAACCAGAGTTCGACCCATGCTCCTCAGGGTGGTAAATAAGCGTCGAGCTCCTACTCCTCGTGAATCCCGCACCGCTCTCCGCAGGAGAGACAGGCGAGTCGGCATCAGGCAGCGGGCCTGCCCTATGATGCAGCTTCGCAAGCGCCTCAGCCAAATCCTCCGCATGCACAAGCTTATTCGGGGCGTCCTCGAGCTTCATCTCCCAGCCGTGAGGCGGGCTAGGCGGCGGTGAGATGAAGAAGAGCTTTCCGGCATCGGGGAGCGTGAGGTGCTCGTCGCGAGCCTGCACGGGCGTGTGCTGGCCGAAGTAGACGCGGAGACGATGACCCATGATAGACTCGCCGTCCCAGGCCTGACGGACGCGGATGGCGGATTGGTCGTCGAGGAAGGAGACGACGATGCGGCGGAAAGAGCGGAGGGGCGCCCAGGTGTGGATGGGGCACGTCTTCTCGATGAGCTCGCGGATGGTTTGGAGGTTGTCGGGGCGGAAGATGTCGAGGTCTTGGAGGTTGGTGAAGATGAGCGTGTTGGAGGGGGGTGTGGGTTGGGTGAGCGGGGGGAGGGAGGAGAGGTCGAGGGTTAGGGACTTGGGTGAGGAGGACCCGGAGGACCGGCGCGATAGTAGAGAGGGGGAGGAGGAGGCGGTGGGCTCCATGGTGCTGAACTGGATGTGGATGGGCAGTGTGCCGCTGATTTCGTTTCGATGTCGATAGTCGTGTTGTTCTGCAAGAGTAGATGGGATCGCGACGCTGAATTCGGGGCGTTGAAAAGTTTAAGAGTGGTGGAGTTGGTGTGTGGTGGTGGAAGGAAATGGAAATCAAGATGAGAGAGTGGCGGATGGGAAGGTTGATTTAAACTAAATGATTTACACTGACGAGGGAAAGACGTTGCAAAGTAACACGCAGGTAAATGGGTTGGGGGCGCATTATGCCAAAAAAGCTACGTTGGTACTTTGAAGTGTCCAATGTTATCTGGGACCCGCTGGTGCCGGCGCAACGCTTCAATGAAAGTGGCTATGTCGGCGGGGACACCTGCAGTACAACGACAGCTGTACCTTTGTCTCTTGGCGTAGCCAGGCGCAACTTTAGCCGTTAACGGGGAGGGCGGGTACATCCTGGCGCTCTGCAGTGTACTTCTTTGCTTCTGGAAGACACCTGAAGCTGTCGCTGGCTGCGGTGGCTCATCCGGGTGCCCGTGACCTTCGTCCACGTAGTCCCGCGCCGTACGAAGTACCAAACTCCGCTCCAGAGAGGAGCTACTTCCGATCCTACACTTTCTTCGCTAGTGTGCAAATGGCTAATTCATGAACACATGTCTCGGCGTCGTCGTGCACTCTCGTTTGGGAAGGAAGAGAGAGGGAGCAGAGAAAGTGTGGGGTTGTTCGGTTCCGCTGTGGAAGGCGCAGCGCAAGAGCAATCAAATCAATTTGACCACATTGAGTATTTTGCGAAAGCTAGGACAGAAATGCGTCGAAGCGCCAGGGACAATCGTCTTGCTTGGTGCTATACGGCAGTAAGAGGAATAATACGGGGTTATCAAGTCCCCGGAGTCTCTCATTTCTTTGTTTTAATTACTTGGCGCACGTTCTTCGCCCGAGCTCAGCCAGCTGCGATTCAAGGTTGACTGTCTGTGCCTGTGTAATGGCGACAAAACAAAAGACTCCATCATCTATCAAATTACCACAAAGTTTATCACAATACCTTTCCTCCAAGTGGACCGTGGACCGTGGACCGCCTGCAGGACGGGGAAGAACCAACTCGAGTTCAGCCGGGCGAGTCCCCCAATGTCCCGAAGAGGCAGTTGAAACGGATTCAGGGTCACGGAGTGTCCGGAGTGGGTTTTGGAATTCCACGGCGCCGATCCAGCTGCCTTGCCGCAAATCGAACGCCCCAAAAGAGGCAGTGTTCAAATGGCGACCGAAAACGACTGGCACAGGGAGGGAGCGAGAGAAAAATTCAACCCGACGGTCTCGCACCAAGGCAGGGGAAAATGGAGCATCTCTCGGCGCTAGGCCAATGGGCCTCCAGAGACGGCGCCGACATTTCGCTCCGCCAAAACTCAGGCGTCGTGTTTGCCAGACCTATGGATAGAGACCACGAGTTGTTCCTTTGCCCTAGAATTCCGACATTTGTCATGGAGGTAATACGTCACTAACAAGTTTGCCACGATAGAATGTTTGGTTCCCAATAATCAAGAAAACAGCCTCGATTAGTGGCAAACCTACGAAGAAGTTGGCTATGCCGTTTTTTTTCCCCCCTTTCATTTTTTTTTCTTCTGTGAGCGCCCATTGAGCAGTGATCACGAAGCATCGCATAAGACACCCATAGAATAGATGCCGTGAGAACCATCCAGCATTATCCACCGCTTGCGCTTCTGCTTCACCTTTCCTGCCTCCAGTTAAGTGCTCCAGTAAGGCAGAGCTCAAAACAATGAACAGGCGCTCAGCCTCGCAGGCCCTTTCTCAAAGCCATGCTGAGTGGCATTCCCAGTCTGCTAGATTAGTTGATGTGTAAGTCCACTCACTTGCCGGAATGAGAGGTGAAGAAAGCCCAGTGGGTGGGTGCTTCCGGACTTCCGAAAAGGGCAAAAAATTATCAGATTGTGGGCACCGTCCTGCTTCGCCCTCCAGATGAGACTGAGACGTCTCGGAGATTTTTTTGGAACGCCAGATGTCATCAGACAATCATATCAGTGCTTTGCTATCGCCGTGTTAGCTGGGTGAGCTGGGCAAGAGCATACTTTGTGACTTGAATGTACGAGAATGTTTTGTTACTTTCTAGCTCACGCGAACTTGCTCACGGGTTCTCATCACGGCATTGACGTCAGGCAATGTGACAGGCGCCTTCCCCATGAGCGTGGCGCCTCTCAGCACTCGCCCAGCACCCAATCTGAGATTTTGTGTTGTGTTTGCAGTTTACCCCATTCAACGACAATCCCTCCTTTCTGCACCAGAGCGAGGTACTCTGGGCGAAGCCATCTAATCTGCATAAACTACAAAGAGGAAGGGGAAAACGTAAATGGAAGCGGCACAGCGAAGGCGCAGAATATCTAGAATGGTTACGTTTTCTCGCTTCACCAAAGAGGTCTACATCCTTTTGTGAGACCCTTTGCTCTCACTTTGCATCTTTCCGACCCAGCCAAGACCCTGCAAAACGGGTCTCTTGCATGCAAGAAAAGCCTATTGTGTCTTAGGTCCAGGGGGCGGAAAAGCCTGTCTGTTATTGAAGGGAAAGGCTCCTCCAGTTACAAACTTTCATTCCCCTTTCTCGATAATCTAAGCCATCAAAGCATTATGCCCTGAGCAGGGGTTGGGAAAGGGAAGAGTCAGATGAGATGAGACTAAAATGCGAGGCCTCATCTGGCATTGAGCCGCTATCATCAACATCGAAAGTTTGATGCCCAATAATTCGAGGATCCAGCATAGGAATGATGAATGGATCAGTCGCGGACTCAGCCTCAATGCTGCCTCCTGGAGAGAGTGCTAGCACACTAATAACTTTCGGTAGACCAGGCTCAAGGTTGAACCTTGATACTGGAACATGGACATAACCTCCGAAGCCATTTCGCGTGTCACGAGAGGGCGTTTCAGAAGGTCCGGGCCAGGCCAGGCTAGGCCTGCAGAACCACACTACGTGCACTAGCACTGGAGTCCTCAATCAATTGAGCAGGGCGGTTTTCACTTTGAGGCAGCCCGGCGGACTGCGCCCAAGCCCCCAATCACAACAATCCACCGAGCACAAATCATTATCATCGTCTCTCAACGAACACTCGAATCCCCAGCATACAGCGCAATATTTTACATGGTGCAGCAAAAACGAGGTCTTCCGGTTCCGAGAAGTGGCCGGCTACCGAGGCACATCCATCATTGTTCTATTAAGCTACCCAAGCTCAAGTAGCTGTCGAAGCTCCCCCTAGCTCAGTCGATTATCGTACAACCCCCCGCGCCGCCTCCGCCCCTTCCTCTAGTAATATGTAGATAGTGTACATCTAAACGGCCACCGAATCCTAAAGCCCCGGTTCAGAAGCTGATGCAACGGGGCTTAGCTCGTACAAATGCGGAGAAGAGATAGATACAAGAGTTGAAAGGCAAATACATGTACACCCAGCAGGCTGTGTCCGCCATCGGCTTCGGTCTGCTGAATTAACCACCCCACACACCCTCACACGCGTCACCTACGCATTGATACCTTCCCGCCCCCATGATATACTTGTACATCCTCGGCTGAGCGCTCCTACCTAATCTCGACACCCAGCTTGTTGACCAGCTCCTTGGTAACTTCGCCATGCAGCTCGTTCGTCTCCACATTGGTCAGCGTCCTCTCCAAGCTGCGGTAGTTGATGCGGTAACAGAGACTGCGCCTCGCCGTCTTGGGGTGCGTGAACTCATCCACGAGCCTGACGTCCTCCACCACATCGCCGGCCACGTTGCGCACGAGCTCCATGACATCGTTCTCGTGGAAATCTTGGGGGCTGGGTCGCGTGTTCCCGCCAGCGGCCGAAGTGGTCGAGGGCAACCAGAAGGAAATGTCCTTGGTGCAAGGGGGGTACTTGGAGAAGGGTACGAAGCGTCGTAGCGTGTCGAGGTTATCGGAGACGCCAGAGAACTGGCTCAGGAAGCGGGCGTCGCGCGACCAGAAGAGGCGGATGTCGGGAATCTTGAAAAGAAGCATTGCGATGCGGTCGATGCCGATGCCGAAAGCCCAGCCTGCTTGGGAGGGTACGCCGGCGTTGATGAAGATCTGCTGCTGCACGACGCCGCTGCCCAGAACCTCGAGCCAGTCTCCTTCGTAATACACCTCCAGCTCCCACGATGGGCTAGTGAAGGGGAAGTAGGCTTCGACCCAGCGCATCCTGAGGGGCTCATCGACGTGATCCGGATTTTCCCTAGAGGCGGCGGCCTTGGCGCGGGTGAAAACGTCCACTACCATGAGCTCAAGCGACCTCTTCAAGTGGGTGGAGATGGCCTCGGCCTCCTCGGCAGTGTGGTGCTTGTCCTGGAGGGGATTTCGTTCGGGATGCGCGAGGGGGTTAGGGTCATCGACCTTGATGTTATGCTTCGGAAGACGTTCGACGTCCTCCCAGACAGCAGCCGCCAGGTTCCCGTCCTTAACCTTGGTCCTATCCCACACGCGCGCGCCCTCCATCTGATGGAAGACGGGGTAGTGGCTGCGGTCGACGGCATCTCTCCTGTAGACGTCGGCGCTGATGAGGAAGCCGTCGCTGAGGTTGGCCCTGAAGGTGTCGGCCTGATGTGCGCTGGTGTGTGTCCTCAACAGCGTGTCCTTGTTCAGGTAGTAAGTGTCAGACTTGTTTCGCCCGGGATGATCGGCCGGGAAGCCAAGCGAGTCAAAGTTCTGCAGGGTTGAGACCACGGGGTGAAAGTCATTGTGGTATCTGTAGGTGGGGGATGGGAACTGAGCCTCGATAATCTGACGCGTTATCGAGACGGGATGGTCCTTTTGGAGATGCAGGCGGCGACTCGCCGCGTTAATGACGTTTGCTGGCACATTGAACCATGAGTCCGTAGTGACCGTTTTGCCATTGACCTCAACTGAGGCCGGTGTTGATGAAGAAGAAGGAGCTGATGCAAAAAAGATAACGTGAGTCTCGGATGAAAAGGTATAACCCTCAAACATCAACACCTCCCAAGAGGCAGAGTGCTAGATCAGATTGCCCATACCTGTTGAGTATCTTCGGCTACACGATACGAACTGCGGGTACCGGAACCGAAGCTGAACCCGGAAGCTGGACAAGACTCTCCGCGAGGCCGACATCTTGTTAGCTGCCCTGACCTGTACGGCCAAAAGGAAAAGGAAATCGGGTGCGGGCCCAAGTATATAATGCTCAGCGACTTCCGATCCTCTCTTCTACCCTCTCTCTTCTCCTTTAACCCCCGTGTTGAGACCTTGATGAAACGGGTCGGAATTCGGTGTCGGCGAAGACTTTTTTTTTTGGGAGCTCGGGGTTCTCGTCTTGCGATCTGGACGGCGATGAGAGTCAGTCGACGTGCAGAAAATCTCGGGTCCACACAGTATCCAAGTACGTGTTATCGGTGGATAGCACAGTACGTGGTTTTGGCCTGTCGCAAGCAGGTCCCAAAGTTCGGGTCCGCGTCGGGTCAGCGCACACGGTGGGAATCGCGTCCCGTCCCTGAACATGCCATCACGGAAGCATGCCCTTGTGGATCCCTGATCTCGAGGGACCGACGATGCAACCCCCGAGGGATTTTTATTTTTATCTTCTCTGATACAGAAGGAGCTAATGAGACCATTAGGATGCGAAAGAAATCCTTACGATATACTTCGAGGTGAGCTTATTCAATTGTTGTTTATAAGGATATTAAACTAGGCAGGACATTGAGCTAGCTTTGCAGCTCTCTGTCCGCGGAGAGGTGTTGCGAAGCGCGTAACCCCCACCTGATCTAAGGCCAAACGATGGTGACCGCCCCCCAGAGTCCACCGTGATGCTATGCAAGCTTGCAAAAAGACTTCTATGCAGAAAGGCATGGCTCTATGGGATCCGCCCAGCTCACCCTCTGCCCGGCAGAACCCCTCCCAGCAGAGTCACTGAGCACAGATGCTGTGTTTGACCTCTCATGCAGGAATTGAAAGAAAAAGAAAAGAAAAGAAAGGAAAAGAAAAGAAGAGAAAGATCGGATTTTCGAACGGGCATCAGACTATGAGGACATGCTACATTCCCTCGTCTCTCTTGCCCCGCCTAGTTTGATAACTTGACAAGCTTGCAGAGGGAGGCAGTCACAACCCGACAATGGGGCCTCTCGAGGCAGGCGCGCGGGTGAGAACTGGAAGCAAGTGCATCCGGGGTTTAAAGGTACATCGAATATGTATAGTTTACTATGGAGATGTTATTTACTGTTTATCTTGGGAAGCGTCGGCTTTCCCGCGTCAGAAGTTGCTTAGTTCCTTGGTTCGTTCACTCCCATTTCACCCCTTTCGGTCTTTACATTGATCTTTCCAATCCCTTTCCCAGGGAAATCTGCTAGTTCGAAGGAAAATACGGCTTTGCAAACGATATCGCCGTCTTTCTCGGTCCCATGAAAAGGTCGAAGTCTAGCGGAGGGCGTTTGCCCGCACGTATATCTGCAAAAAGCTTAGCCAGCCCGGTCAGCTCCGGGACTGGCTCCGAGGGGTCCGGCTTCACCGGCCAGGGAAACAGTCCCCTCGGTATCTCGGGCCTAAATAAAGCAACCATTGGAATACGGTGTTGGTCTGCCTCCTTCCAGAAATCATTCATGATATCCGATTCTTTCTCTTGGCCATCTTCGGGGGCGAAATAAGGGAGCGCAGCAGTCTTTCCCGGATTGCCACAGAACCAGTCGAGACAGGTTTCCGGGAGAGGCGTTGTTCCGCGCCGCAACAGACTCCTCCGAAAATCACAGCCAACAAGACCGAGCCGTTTAACAAGCTCCCTGAATTGGTTCTCATATGTATGGATTGTCCCGGGTGCCTCCTTTTCGTGGAGGAAGAGAGCCCAAGGGTGCACAAGGGATGTCTCAAGAGAGTCAGCATCCACTCCGGTAGCCCACGGAATGGAAATGTAGTAGAGCCGCTCAACCCGAAACTGACCAAGCATCATCCGCTGCACCGGGAAGATGGAGTCCATGTTAATGCAGACGTATGAGATCTCACGAACATCCTCTTCGAGACGTCCCTGGAGGCTCTGATACTCCTCGCACATGTTCTTTGTGACGAATTTATGAATAGGATCCCCTGGGTATTGCTCCCAATTACTTGGCGGTTGGCGGGGGACGTGTCGTGCTGTGTAGATCGTAAACGGCCGATCAGGTTTGAAGAGCGCTTCAAGCACTTCGACTGAGTTTAGTGGAGCCTCCACTATAAAGGGCACATGTGTCTTGCTGTCATACCCAGGTCCTGGCGCTGTCGTATTGGGTATAGATTCGGGTAGCTCGAATATTTCGGTATATCGATTATGGGTTACAATATCAGTATTCTTGCCGAGAGGCCAGGTGCCGAGTTTGCTCATCAGGGTCCGCGAAAGTCGGGTCTGGACCTTGATAGCGGATTTCGACAAGACTCCGAGCGGGGACTTTTCGGACTTTTCTTCCTCTTTTGATGATCCAGTTTCATTCAACGGGAAGACGAGGATTGCTTTTTCTTATAGTACTTCGTAGTTGTTCGGAGCCGATTCCCTGGTGAAACAATTGAAGCAAAGCCCTGGTATCCGATGATTTACGTCACCTATCCATCCATGAACAAGGAACGTCAAATATTGTACTGTTGGTCCCTTCGGCGTGGAAAATTCGACGCAGGAAGGAACGTACATACGTCCAAAGTCTAATCAGTCTGGCACATGCAAGGACAAGCCACAGAATTTTCTCGTACACACCACTACTTCGTACATGAAGATGTATCCCAATTAGTGCCATCCACGATTGCCATCTTCGCCGTTGTGTTCGATAAGATGATAAATGTAAAAGTGACTTTAGTCGCCACCAGGATTTTCACAAAAGCCAAGGTAACTATGACTCATATCCGGACCCACGGATACCTCCATTCCTGGAATCAAAGCCCCGAAGTCGGCCAATGAGACCTTGTGGAATACCACGAGGATGTTGTCTGGCCAGTAGAAGTCGCGATTTCCCCCTGGACATACCCGAGGCCTTCCGGCTTCTGCTCCAAATCTTCAAGTTGCCAAGGCTCCCTGAGTCCCCTGTGGCCTTGGCATGGGCGCGAAGCCAAGGAAAAAATTTACCGCCGTTCAGCCGCGGAAAACACCTCATCTACCAAAAAAAAAAAATCCAATTGAAGAACTAAACATCTGCCGTCACTGCTGCGCCAGACCATTCGCAAATCCAAATCTGTGACCACTCTCCCCTCAGTCTTTCGTTCGACACCTTGAATTGTCGACGTTTCTGTCTTCGTCCATTCTCTTGTTTAATCGGTTCCTTCCATATCAGCAATCAAGATGAGTGCTACCAAGGCTGAAGCCCCCAAGGCGGTGGCCGTCGTTGCCCCTTCGGCTGGTGTTGGCCTCTAGTGCGTCTCCCTCCCGATCCTCCCGATTGAAGCTTTCGTCGCGAGACTCGTCGCTAACCATCTCAAAAGTGCCAAGTTCGCCCTTGCCGGTGCCCTCTGCTGCGGCGTCACCCACGGTGCTCTTACTCCCGTCGATGTGTAAGCTTTTTCCATTCCTTCCGACAGATGCCGAGACGATCGAGAATGGTCGGGCCCGGCAGACCTGGAACACCCAATACCTCGTGTCCCATGATGACAACGAACTCGGGTCGACCGCCATATCGCATCGTTCGCTAACAATTCTGTTTCTGCAGCGTCAAGACCCGAATCCAGCTCGACCCTGCCACCTACAACAGGGGTATGATCGGTGGTTTCCGCCAGGTCATTCAGTCTGAGGGTGCTGGTGCTCTCCTCACTGGCCTTGGTCCTACAGCCACCGGTTACTTCCTCCAGGGTGCTTTCAAGTTCGGTGGTTACGAGTTCTTCAAGCAACAGCACATCAACCTCCTCGGATACGAGACCGCCTCCAAGTACCGAACTGGTGTCTACCTCGCCTCCGCTGCTTGCGCCGAATTCATCGCTGATATCGCTCTCGTATGTGCTCACCGCTCTTGGTGTTTTGTTTTCGTTTCGAAGCATGATGAGGCTAACGTTTGTGTCCCCCTTATAGTGCCCTCTTGAGGCTACCCGTATTCGTCTCGTCTCTGAACCCACCTATGCTAATGGCCTCGTCGGCGGCTTCTCCAAGATGCTGAAGACTGAGGGTGTCGGTGCTTTCTACGCTGGTTTCGGTCCTATCCTCTTCAAGCAGTAAGTTCGCATCTCATATGTGCCCTAGTCGTTAGTATATGGGAGGACGCCGTTTCTGACCAATTGTTTCTCCATATAGGATCCCTTACACCATGGCCAAGTTCGTCGTCTACGAGAAGGTCTCCGAGGCTATCTACCGCCAGTGGCCCAAGAAGGACATGTCCGACGGCCTCCAGACTGCCGTTAACCTTGGTTCCGGTTTGATTGCTGGTTTCGCCTCCGCCATCATCTCTCAGCCTGCCGACACCATGCTTTCCAAGATCAACAAGACCAAGGGTCTCCCCGGTGAGGGCACCACCACCCGTCTCATCAAGATCGCCAAGGAGCTCGGTATCTCTGGATCTTTCACTGGTCTCCCCGCCCGTCTCTTCATGGTTGGTACCCTCACCGCCTTCCAGTTCGCCATCTACGGTGACGTCAAGAAGGCCCTCGGTGCCGTCGGTGGTGTTGAGATTGCCAAATAAATTGGCCCATATAGAGTGAAGGAAAGTAATAGCTCGAGGCGGTAAGCGCAGCGATGCGTGCCGTTGGCATCTTCTCTCCAGCATATAAAGTGGTTGTCCATGCTGGGATTCAATAACAAAAAAGGAGGTGGTATGGATGCATTCCCCGTCGTTCTAGAACTGGTTAATGTCGGGGTTGGGTACGGACTTGCTTTTTTAAACCTTATTTTTCTTTGCGCTGTCTCTGGTCTGTACTTTCTTGTTCATTCATTCATTGGGGGTTATATCCAGAAGGCCTCGCAGCTGGGTTCTCCTGCCGCTGTCATTTTGTGAGGGAACATGGGAACAATTTTTGCTGGGAAGGATGGCTTTTCCAGCGGCTTGTAATAGTAGTTCAGTGTCCTAATCATATACCGGAGTTGGCGGCAAATAGACTCTCTGCTGGCTTGAGCGTGTGTCTCTCAATGGTGATGAAGTTGAGGTGATTAAATGGTCTTCTCTGATGTTGGAGGTCAGCCCATGTTGTTCTGACGATTTCACCCCCTCATGGAGTACGGAGGTACTTGTTATGGTGCTGACATATGCATAGTGTAGATTAGTAGATACACTGTATGTGCTCCCCCTCCAATCCGGATAGATGCATGAGCTTCAACAGAGCTATATTGGCCTTCCGACGGGCTTCAATGTCGTCAAGAGCTCCATCGCCGACTAACATACGAGCAGCTGGTGGTCTTGTAGGCCCTTGCTAATAGTAATTATTTTCACCCCTTACCTCACTCTTTCAGGAACTACTATGGCGATATCGGTATGTAGCTTCCTTCTCTGGCTGCCTCTCTCGCGGCGAAGCCCAGCTAACTGGAGCCTGCCTAATCATTGCAGTGGAAATCCTTCGACTTCTTCGACGTCGCCGAAGTCCGACTCGCCGACGACGAGACCCGACAAGTCTTCGAGAGCAACGATATATCATGCGTCATATCCGGGTCCGAAAGCCTCTTCCTCGGCTCCTACGATGGCTACGTCCGCATCGTCAATTCGAACTGGAAGGTCGTCCGGAGCTTCCTGGCTCATGATGTCGGAACCATTACCCATATGCGCCAGGTCGAGGGGACGAGTTTGCTGGTGACGGTTGCCGTACGATGATCCGCCCTCGGGTTTCTTGCGCCTATGTTGCTGACATTTTGAGCAGGAAGATCTCAGTAGCCCCCCGGTGCTCAAGCTATGGGCGCTCGACAGACTCGTGAAGAAGACCAATATGCCAACTTGCCTGACGACCTTCGCTATCAACAACGGGAAGCAGCAGTTTCCGGTACGATCTCCTCTTTCCACTTTTCCGTCCGCGGATTAGCCAGAATCGAGGACTAATAGAAACTCTAGATATCGGCCTTTGCCGCCATCAATGATCTTACACAGATAGCCGTCGGCTTCGCGAATGGTGCCGTAACCATAGTCCGGGGAGACCTCGTCAACAACATGGAGCCGAAACAACGAATCGTGTACGAGTCCGAAGAGCCGATAACAGGCCTTGAACTATTCTATTCGGCCGAATCGAAAGAGACTACAATCTTCGTTGCGACAACGAGTCGGATAATGCGATTGGTCGTCTCGAGGCGAGGACAAGGTTCACCCCCAAAGACAGTCGAGGATGCCGGCTGCGGCGTGGGATGCATGACGACGGATAAGAAGAGTGACAAAATAGTTGTCGCGAGAGAGGACGCAATATATTATTACACGATGGACGGCCGAGGCCCCCCTTGTGCCTACGAATCCCCGAAGAGTCTTGTTTCGATATACGGTGACTATATAGCGCTCGTATGTCCGCCCACAGACCAGTCGACGAGGGAGCCCGAGACAATACGACGGCGCTTTGGCGGTGCCGCAGATGCGCTTTTCAATGCGTCAACATTTGTACTCCTGGAGCCGGAGCACCGTGTTATTGCGCACAGCGAGTCCTTAATATCAGCGGTGAAGGCGGTCTTTGAGATTTGGGGAGATTTGTTTGTGATGACGCAAGATGGAAAGGTAGGGGCGTACAATCCTCCCGAAGCCTCTGCTGCCCGAGCCCAACAAACTGACCCGTCAACGTTCATAGGTCAAACGATATCACCAGAGGACGCTTCAGCAGAGACTTGAGATGCTTTATCAAAGGAACATGTTTCCGTTAGCGCTCGAGCTAGCGAAGAGCGCAAGAATGGATAGCCGGCAACAGAGTGCGATTTGCAAGCTGTTCGGCGATCATTTGTACCAAAAGGGAGACTACGATGCGGCCATGGTTCAGTACATTCGCGCGATAGACACCACGGAGCCCTCGCAAGTTATCCGCAAGGTTTGTCGGTTCCTCAGTAGATAGCTCATTGTTAAGAACAGCGCCGCGCTAACCTCACACACTCCAGTTCCTTGATACGCAACGCATTCACAACCTCATCCAGTACCTCGAACAACTCCACGAACACAGGAAAGCCACGGCGGATCACACGACACTTTTGCTCAACTGCTATGCTAAGCTGAAGGACATTGAGAAGCTCGAGGCGTTCATCAAGTCTCCTGGAGACTTGAAGTTTGATCTGGACACGGCAATCTCGATGTGTAGGCAAGGCGGCTATTACGAGCAAGCGGCGTATCTCGCTGAGCAGCATGAGGAAATTGACCTCGTGGTTGACATTTTGGTGGAAGACTCTAAGAACTATGATGAGGCGTTAAGTTTTATCCGGCAGCAGGATCCCGAGACGGTATGCGTTCTACGTTCCTTTTACAACATCCAATAGGATCTAACTAATCACTCTTTTAGGCCTACAACTGTCTCATGAAATACGCGAGGGTGCTTATCGAGAATTGCCCCCGTGATGCTACGCAGCTATTTGTTGATTACTATACAGGGAAATACCGGCCAAGGCCAAAGATGGTGGAAGTTACCCCAGAGGCTATAGAAGCGGCCCAGGGAGGCCTGGCTGCTGGAGCAGCCGTAGCGGTACAGAACTTTACCAATTTGATCGCACTTCGTGGGAACGGCACGCCGTCTACGCCGACTAACGCCAACGCGCCAATTAACGGCCAAGGGGATGCTGTTGCTGCGGCTGCGGCAGCGGAGGATGTGGCTACCTCGGACTACACTCCGCCAGCGCCTAGAACGGCTTTTTCGTCATTCATTGACCATCCGAACGAATTCATCGTGTTCCTAGAATCATGTCTCGAATCCCCGGAGCTGAGCAAATCTGACAAGACGGATCTATACACCACGTTGTTCGAAATGTACCTTCACAAAGCAAGTGAGAAGAAAGGAGAAGGCCGAGAGGAATGGGAAGCCAAAGCCAAGAAGCTCATCGGCGGTGAGGATATACCGATGGAGAGCTCCAACGTGCTTCTGCTCTCGGACCTCTCGGGATTCAAGGACGGCACGATTCTAGTCAAGGAACAGGCAGGCCTGCTCTTTGACATCTTCCGATCGTATACCTCTGCGAAGGACACCCGCGGCGCTATGAAGGCGCTCCGGAAGTACGGACCCGAAGAGCCGCAGCTCTACCCAGCGGCGTTGGCTTACCTCACATCACACCCGCAGATCCTCGATGAGGCAGGGCCGGACGAGCTAGCGGGTGTGCTCAACAAGATCGACAAGGACGGGCTAATGGCGCCGCTGCAGGTGCTACAAACGATGATGGGACAGGGCGGCGACGGCGGTACCGGCGAGGGTGGCGTAGCGACGATGGGCATGATCAAGCCGTACCTCCACGAGATCATCGACCGCGAGCGCCGCGAAATAGCCTCGAATCGCCGGCGCATCGCAGCCTTCCGATCCGAAACGGAACAAAAACGCACCGAACTGGCCGAGCTCAGCACCAAACCCGCAGTATTCCAGGCGACGCGGTGCTCGGACTGCGGACAGTCCCTCGAGCTCCCCGTGGTTCATTTCCTGTGCAAGCATAGCTTCCACCAGCGGTGTCTGCGGGGCGGGGGCGCGGGTCCCGAAGCGGAGTGTCCGCTGTGCGCCAAGGATAACGCGACGATCCGGGCGCTGAGGAGGAGTCAGGCAGAGAATGCGGATAAGCATGAGTTGTTTAGGAATGAGCTTGAGAGGAGCGAGGATCGGTTTGCCACTGTGGCGGACTGGTTTGGGAGGGGGGTGATGGATGTGCCGAATGTAGAGTAGTTTTTTGAGTTTAAATTGTTTTGTGAGCCTTTGGACTGTTGTTGGTCGTTTCGGCGGGTTCCTGTGTTTATTTTTGGTTTTTGGTTTCCGTTGTTACGAGGGCAATGGGTTGCTACGTGTATACAAGTAGATATTGATACAATACCCGAAAATACATTTATCATAGTATCACAGTGTCACGATATGTTCTCGTGCTTCTTGGTCGAGGGGAGATCTCAATGTCGAGGTTGCCATTTTCTCAGTCTGGATTGGATTGATGTCACACGGGAAGATTTAAGCTCACGGCTCTTCCCCGCCAAGCCAAGCCAATTCAATCAAGCTCTCTCAGTCTTGCATCTCTCACTCACCACACTCATACGATCAAATTGATGTCGTCTCACTCACACATGGCACGGTGATATCATCTCGAAAAGAAAGAAAAGCTTCAATCCACAATACCGCACGATAATACTCCCACCCACAATGACAACACCTCTCACCTCCCCCGCCTCACGGGCCTTGCTCCTCGACTTCTTCACAAAAGCCCTCTCCACATTCCAAGAATCCCAAGACGTCTTCCGCATCATCTGCTCCCTGCCCACTTCCACACCCAGCCCCAGCGCAGCGACGATACCCGAACCTCGGCGACGCAAGCCGACCCGGCCGGTCGACCGGCTCCTGGTTCTCGACTCGTCGTTCAACCCGCCGACGCTAGCGCACATGGGCATGGCGGAGTCGGCAGCCGAAGCTTACAATTCATCGCCTAGTTCTACGAGGGTGTTATTGCTGCTTTCGGTGAAGAATGCCGACAAGGGGGTTCGGCCTGCTAGTTTCCCGCAGAGACTGGCCATGATGTACATTTTCGGCACGGAGCTCCTAGGAAGGAAAGAAGAAGTGGAAGTCGTGGACGTCGGGCTTAGCACATTGCCCTATTTCAGCCAAAAGTGCGAAGCCATCTCCCAAGACCCGTTTTACTCCGTTCCCGGTGGACCAGCAGCAACCTCGATGGAGCAGGTCTATCTCGCGGGATACGACACACTCATCCGGATCTTCAACCCAAAGTACTACCAGGCAGATAACAGCGACGGGAAAGCTATGCAGAGGGCCCTCGGACCTTTTTTCGAAAAGGCGAAGCTGAGGATCACGGCGAGGAGAGGGGAGTGGGGCGGCGATGGGGAGCAGAGGGCGTATTTGGACGGGTTGGCTGGCGGTCGGTTGGAGGAGGTTGGGGGCCGGAGGGAGTGGGTTGGGAGGGTGGAGCTGGTGGAGGCCACGAAAGATGGGAGGGCGGTGAGTAGCACGGCGGTGAGGAGGGCGGTGGGTAAAGGGGACTTGGAGGGTTTGAGGGGGCTTTTGAGTGATGGGGTGAGGGAGTGGGTGGTTGAGGAGGGATTGTATAGGGAGGGTGAGTGAGGATGACGATTTGATGAGCTGTGTGTGATTTATGAAGTACGAAGGATACGAAGCACATGAGACTTCATGCTGGGAAACAAGGACATCAATCTACGAAGTAATAGAAACCAACAGCAACGCACAAGGCTGAAGATGTGCAGGAAAACGACAGTGAAGCAGGTGCATTGGGAGAGGCTCCTTCTCGGCACGAGACCAACTTCCCAAGGAAGGAACACCCTGATCTGCCCAGTGTAATGTGCCCAGTGTAATGGAAATACAAACTACCTCGTCGAAGTAGTGTAAACAATTGAACTGGATCTTGGTCTCCCAAGTGGACCGCCTAAAAAACTGATACGAGGCAAGACCGAAAATTTGAATGAAGCTATCCACAGTGAAATCAAAAAAAGACTCCTCTTTCCAGTCTCGAGGCCTTGTTTGAGGCTCTAGAACAGGCATATCCCAACCTTAGAACCACTTGAGTGGAGCAAGAAGTCATTGGGCTGAAGAAACAATTGAAAATTGAAAATTTCAGTGGAGCAAACAAATTTCCGCTCGGCAGAAAAAAAGTCCTGCCCCACTGACCAAAGAAAAAGAAAATTCTGCCAGGCGGTGAACCAAAAGGCGGTGTGCCCCAATCCGCCCACAACCGACAATCAGCCAGCCGAAATCTCATGTATAAATACGGCCTCAATCCTCCCAATCTTTCCCTCTCTTTTTCTTCTTTTCTTCTTCATGTCGACTTTACTTCAGTAAGTCTTACCCCCTACATTTCCCACGCACGCACAGCAATCCAATCCACTCTACGCCTTTCAATTCGCTCCTCAGCGCATCGTGTCTAACAAATTCAACAGGAGAATCATTTCTATAGTTGTCGACCTCTTCTTGGTTTCCCAAAGAAGCCACAGAACCCACCCTGGTTGATGAATCGATACCCCAGCGCCTTAGAGTGAAGAAAAAATGGGTTTTCCATTTTTTGTGGCTCCCGCACTGTCTGAATAAGACGGCGGTCCTTGTCTCTAGGGACTTGGACTGTAGAGGGAGTGGTTGATGATCTCGTCCCCGTTTCTCGGTCGGCCTTTTGGCGCGAGGGCGGGGTGGGTGTTGGGGGAGTCTGACAGGCCTATCTCTTTTTCCTTTTTTTTCATTGCTGTTTGGGCTTGTCCCAGATTGTGAAGAAGAACTTTCAACTGGTTGCTAGAGGTATGCAATGGCTCGTCGTCGGGGGAATTGTACGGCGGGAATGCTGCCCTATAACGAATTCTATCACGTCGAGCTGAACGAGTCTGCACCTTGCCTGTCTCCGTAACTGCGGTTTGGGTTGGAATACCCAACATTTTGGAGCCTCGTGGCCCGCTCGGGAAGCCTTTTCTGAACTTGGACACGTTGTACCTGTGTGTGTGTGTATATATATCAATTTATTGTGAATTCAGTCAAGCTCCATCTATTGTTGCCAACTATCTGATGCCGGCTAGCGACAGGCCATCACAACAAAAGAAACCAAAGGCTGTCAATGGGATATCCATAAGTACAATTGCAATTGTAAACATCAAACCACTGCTCCTTCCCCATCTAATCTGATTCAACAATCTACGCCCCAAGTAAAACCAACACCATGCAATCTTCAAGCGACGGAAGGAGAAAAATTATACTCAAAACCCTGGTCCACCTCACCTTCAATAGTTCAATACGCAACACCCCTCCTCGACCTCCCAATCGTCTTATAACTCACAAACTCTCCATCGCCTCCCAGCCGGTCAAATCGATTCATCCCCATCGTCTGCACGCTCGTCAACCCGCTCAACCAGAACCCCACCACCACGATCCCGTAGCTCAGCAACAAGAGACTGCCCTTAAAGTAGTTGCTCTTGCCCTCGCCGTACATGTAGCTGAGCAGGAACACGCAGATGATCGTCGTCACCATGTCCCACTGCGGGAAGAGTAGCGTGAAGAGGTAGTGCGCAGGCTCGTCGTCGCCGCCGGGGAGGGGCGTGGGCGGCCAGAGGGCCGAGTAGAAGACGAGGGCGGGGATCTGGAGCATGCAAACTTGGAGGGCGTAGGCTGATCCGATTTCCATGGAGAGGGCAATGTTGCCGTTCATGGCGAACGAGATGGCGTTCTGGAAATGGTAAGTTAGTACACATAATTTACGGAGAGGTGAGAAAGAGAGAAAGGAGAGAGAGCACTTACAAGAAATTCCGTCGTGTTCGGAACCAGCGCAAACAGCGAAATACCCAAAAACTTCTCATCAATCGCAAACCCTTCTAACACCACATCCACCGTATCGACAAGAATCTCCGCAATGATGGCGTAAAACACCGTAGCCCCCAAGAGGATAACCGCACTCTTCGTCCGACCCCAGTTGGGCGCATCGTGCCCGCCGCCATTAGTGCCAGCCGCAGCAGCAGCCCCATGTTCGCCGAGAACAAGCGCGTCGGGCGGTCCGTCGGGCTCGGGGAAAGTGGAAAGCTTCGATCCTGCCCCAGCACCTGTCGTCGCCCCATTCTTGGAGCCTCCTGCTCCACCGGACGCTGCTGGGCCGAGCTCGCTGGCTCCGCCAATGCGGACCGCGCTCCGTCTAGGATGGCGAACGTCTCGAGCCGCAATCGTCGCAGCCGTCGCGGCAACTTCGGCAACCTGTCGCACGAGGTTCTGGTTCTCCGCCTCAGAGAAGCCGGGTATGTACACTCGCGTAGAGTGGGGTTCTCCGGCATCCGTCTTTGGTGGGACGACATGCGGCGTCGTGCTGGCGCTAGTTCCGCTACCTAGGCCGGCAGAAGAGGTACCCGTGAGATTAGAGCTCTGGTGAGAGATCTGGTGAGAGAGTTCTTCGTGCCGCGGAGCCAAACCAACGTGCTTCAGGGACTGTCCGAGAATCCTCTTGTATAAATGCGAGTCCCTGATATCGGTCCCCGTGGTCTCGGCAAACGAGTGGGGGAGGGATTGTGATGGCCGATGGTGAATAGGTGCATGTCCTGCCGCAGCCGCCGCCGCCGCCGCCGCTAGGGCTTCCTCGTGCTTCTTCTCCTCGAGCTCCGTGTTCCAGATCACGGCAGCATGCGTGCGGAGAGTGAACCACAGACCAATAAGATACATGAGGAAAAGAGCACCTGCGGCGAGATAGCAGTAAGGCTTCACCGCTTCGATATAAAATCGGTCATCCAGCGCGGGGACCTCCGAGAAAAAGCATCTGCGGCAATCCCTCGTGTTGTCGGTGCCCGTTGGATCACCCGTCTCAACGCAATCCATGCAGTTGAGCTCGTGAGTGCCGTAGATTTGGAAAAACAACGTCGGCCCAAACGCGCCGAGGACCGCAAAAAGTAACATGGCCGATGTCACACCCGCCGATTTCGCATTAAATCGCTGAGTCTTTCGCTTGATCGCGCCGAAGCACATCGAGAGGCCGGGGAGGAACAGGATACCCGCGAAGATGCTTCCGACAATGCTGCCCTCCACAAGACGGCCTTTGCCCTGGTTCAGCGCAATACAGTAGAGGTAGACCTCAACGACGGTCGAGAAAAAGGCGTTGATAGCGGCGCCGAGGCCCATGGAAGACTGCGCCGAGATGGACGCTACAGCCTGACCGATAAAGTAGGCTAGAGGAATGATGGAAAGTAGACCGGCCGGGAAGAAAAAGGCCGACGACGTGATGAATGTGTCGAGGTGCATAATGCCGTGCAATATGAACCAGTCCAAAATAACAAACGCGACCACCCCCATCAGGTTGATGAGTATAATGTTGGTGCCGTCGAGGGTGTACTTCCAGTATCGAGGTCCTACGGCTCGGTAGGTGCAGAGCAAGATGGACGAGTATGGCGCCTCCGACGTGACGAAGCCGGATTCGAACGATAGTGCAAGGGGATGGCGTCGAAGGTGGCTAAAGAGAAGGCCAGTAACCTTACCCATAGGAATCCAGTACACCAAGAACCAGCAGATCAGGGAGACAAGCAGCAATGCCGGGGCGATAAAGAAGTAGAAGCAGACGAAGAAGATGACCCTTCCAACGTTCCACTCTCCCCTGCCAAACAGCCGTCGCTTCATCCTAGGTGCGTCGGCGCCGTTGCTATCGCTCCGCTCAATGGTCCGGGAGTTTCCAAGCAGGCTGTCTGTCTCGCTCAAACTCGAATCAATGCTCCTCCTCGAGCGGCCGACAATAGATCGGTTCGGCTCGGGTCCAAAGAACAAGCGACCGTATTCCAGATCGCCGCTCTGCCATTGTTCGTACTCGAAGATGCTTCTTCCTTCACCACGATCCTCATGGAGGTATGCCTCATCCTTCTCCAAACGAACAACCTTTCCAAAAGGGTAGAATAAGTAGCCTGCAAGACCCCATAGCACGCGACCGTAGAGCCGCGATCCGGGAAACGCAACCAGGATGAAGCAGACAAGCGCACCCAGAGCAGCCAGCAAGGCTAACCACCAACCGAACAAAATGGTCCACACGATATTAAAGAAACGGATCCAGAGGCCACCGATTTGGCCGGGGGTAGAGTGAATATCTCCCTCGGCCGTCTTTTGCACCGAACGAGACTTCTTGTACAGGGCAGGCTTCCAAAGCCTGATACCGAAAGGGTGGGTTTCGTTGATTGCTTCCTGGCGATCCTTGAGTGTGAAGCTTTCAGCATCACTAAGCTCGCCTTCCGAGTCGCAATCTATGTGGTCTTCTAGCTGGAGTTCGCCATGGTGCATAGACTCCTCGTTGTCATCCTCCTCTTCTGCGACCGCCTCTGGGGCCTCGTCGTCGGCTTCGTTTAAACGTAGTTGTGATTGCCCTCGCGGGAGTGCAGGACGCGTAGCAACGCTTCGCCGGCGCGAGCCGTAGCCTTGCTGCTGCTGTTCGGCAGCATCGGCCTCGACTTCCAGAACATCGTCGTCAACGGAGAAAACTTCCCCGCGGTAGGGGGTCATCGGGTTTACAGAGGGTCGGCGAGCTAGGTTAGGTTTCTTTTGCCGGGACGATCGCGCTCGCTCGGTTCCGCCTTGGCGGCTAGCTGCTGCTTGGGCGGATGTGGGATCGCGAGACGACGAGGCCGGCGCGTCGGGGTAGACATTAGGGCTCCTTAGTGGAGTCGCGGAGCTCTGGATGGTTCCTGCGGGCACGAGAATGTCAGATGGGTCTGTCAGCTTCCAAGGCTGCCACGAATATAGAGCTTTCGGGAGTGATCGATAGGGTCACTAACCATAGCCAGTAGCATCTGGGTGCCTTCGTACAGTATCGGTAGACTGGTAGCTTGCCGATAGCAAATCGTCGGTGGCAGGAGGAGGCAAGGGGCTTTGTGGAGAAACCGGCCTCTCTCTGGATGGATCACGCGGGGACGCCATGGCGATATCGACGGCAGCTTACTGCCCTATGTCGTATCGCGAGGCGTGGGGATGTTCTGGTGGAGGGAATCGGCCTGGATAAGTTGGGGTAGACAGGACCGAAGTATGGGATTCGCGGCGTGCGATGGTCTGTTTATTGAGTTGGGCGCCGCATCCGCAGCTTTACGTCCCTGTGCGAAACGCGGGACGGAAGTACAGGGAGATGAAGAGAAAATTAAATCGTGATCGGAGAGAGACGGGACATGAAGGAAGGACAGGAAGAAGGAACTCAGTCACGCTCGAGCTGACTAGAACTAAGTAAATAAAAGGGAAGAAAATAACATCAGCCGAGCTCGTCCAGAAAAAGAAAAGAAGAAGAAAAAAATAAAAGCTAGCAGGCGACGACTGTTCATTAGCGGAAAGTCCGAGGAGGAACAATCAAATGGAGAATCGAGACCGCGAGAAGGAGGAGTCGAGGTCTTGGATGGGAAAACGAATGTACAAAATACAACAATTGAAGTACAAAACAAGAGATTTCGAGGACGAAGACAAAGTACGAATATTACGAAGCACTAAAGACGTGCTCCAGCGCAGACGCGGAATGTAGGCCAAGATGCCGAGTCAAGCGAAGGACAGCATAAAAATTAGCAGAGATATTCACATTCTCACAAAACGGCTATTATTCCGTTTTCCTCGTATGCATATTTTCCACATATGCCATCCCGTCGGATTTATTTCGTCCTTGGAACTTGCACTTGCCTAAGACCTGATGGCTACATTTGTATAAAACGAAAAATGCAGCTTTTGACTATGTCGCAACGCCGCGCCGCCCCAAATCAGATGTGACGTGCTTATCTTGTGGAAAAAGAACTGCCTTGGTAGCTTTCCCGTCGAATCAGCGCGTCCAGATTGGCCCTGCTGACTTGGAGTCCAGTCTAGGACGAGTGTGTGCGGGGACCTGAACTTGCGACATCTCACTAAAACTGGAGAACTAAGGCTCTCTCGCCCGACATTGATGGAGCCTTCATCAAGTTAGGACCCTCAAGTTCAGAGCTAATCCTCGCTACTGGCTTGGGGACGATTACTCGTTCACCGCACGTCGGAGCCTTGGAAGAGTATCAGTGAAGCATCCGAGTTTATCTACAGGCAGTAAGACTGGCAGAGTGCACTATGTTGTATGTGCCGACATGCCGCACACTGCAAGTTCTATTATCCAAACTTTAAAGTTGATCCTGGACATTCATAAATTGAACCAGGTCGTTCTTGTCAAGCGTAAACGGAGTCTCCGTTCTCAAGTCTCTCTTGCCTCCACGAAAAGACATCAAGTATCGTATCTACACTAGACACGTCACACACCTAAAATACACGCCTCATCATCCGCCGTAGAGCTTTAAATCGGATCTGATATTCTATATGTCATTAGAGCATCCCATGTCGTGTAACTTTCGGTCCGCGATGACCAGAGCTTCTTCCATGGTGCAAGCCAAGACATGCTTCCAGCTTGTATCCTGATCCTGGTTGGAGCTTTCGTTTGTATCACGTGACTCTAAGCACCAAGCTTACCCAACCCTTTGGACGTCAGTGTGAGGCTCCAGCAACACACGCGTTCAGAAGTAGCTGATTGACAGCCTCCCAAGACTCCATCTCCGTCGCCACAACCCATCCTCATCATCATCCCCCGCTGCCCTATCCAAGCGACAACCTCGTTAACATTAACGACTATCCGATCCGATTAGCATTTCTAATTCCCGCTCTCTCCATAATCCATCCGTCCAAACCCCGAGATCCTCCTCTACAGGAGCAGCCGATATTTGCGAAGATGGCGCTCGATAACTACTATCAAAACAAGATCGAGGCGATGAAGCTCGAGATCCTCAAGGGTCAAGCTGTTCTCAGACGTCTCGAAGCTCAGAGGAATGACTACAACTCCCGCGTGAGACTGCTCCGTGAGGAGTTGGGCCTTCTGCAACAGCCTGGCTCTTACGTAGGTGAGGTCGTCAAGGTTATGGGCACAAAAAAGGTCCTCGTCAAGGTGCACCCCGAAGGAAAATATGGTGAGTAGCGACCTTTCCTCATCCCCGAGTTTGCGCATTCTTTTCGCTAACTTTTTTTTTTCGCTTGACAGTTGTTGATGTCGCCGACTCCGTCGATGTCTCCAAGCTTACCGTTGGCAAGCGAGTAACGTTATTGTCGGACAGCTACAAGCTCGAAAAGATTCTCCCATCCTCAGTCGACCCCCTCGTCTCCCTCATGATGGTGGAAAAGGTACCCGACAGTACATACGACATGATCGGTGGTCTGGACAAGCAGATCAAGGAAATCAAGGAGGTCATCGAGCTAGGTCTCAAGCATCCCGAGCTGTTCGAGTCGCTCGGTATCGCCCAACCCAAGGGTGTTCTTCTTTACGGACCCCCAGGTACCGGAAAGACGCTACTTGCCCGAGCCGTCGCCCACCACACAGACTGCAAATTCATCCGTGTATCCGGATCTGAGCTGGTACAAAAGTATATCGGTGAGGGTAGCCGTATGGTCCGCGAACTCTTCGTCATGGCGAGAGAACATGCGCCCTCCATCATCTTTATGGACGAAATCGACAGTATTGGCTCCTCGCGTGTCGAGGGTTCCTCCGGTGGCGACTCTGAAGTCCAGCGAACCATGTTGGAGCTTCTGAACCAGCTCGACGGCTTCGAGCCCACCAAGAACATCAAGGTTATCATGGCAACGAATCGTCTCGATATCCTCGACCCCGCCCTACTGCGCCCCGGCCGTATCGACCGAAAGATCGAGTTCCCCCCGCCGAGCGTCGAGGCCCGCGCCGACATCTTGAGGATTCACAGCCGGAAGATGAACCTTACCCGTGGCATCAACCTCACCAAGATCGCCGAGAAGATGAACGGTTGCTCGGGTGCCGAGCTCAAGGGTGTTTGTACTGAAGCGGGTATGTACGCCCTGAGGGAAAGGAGGGTACACGTCACCCAGGAGGACTTTGAGCTGGCGACGGCCAAGATTCTCAACAAGCATGATGACAAGGAGATTTCCCTTGCCAAGTTCTTCAAGTAACTAGTGGGCTTCTTCTTTGCGCCACTTTTACATCACGGTCACTCGATATATATTTGGCTGTCACGAGGGGGGGATTTTGTCGAATGCAAGCTTGGGGACCTGTTTCTGAACAGAGTTGCTAGGCCTCTGCAAGTGCCTTGGTGTGCATATTTCCTCCAACAAAACAACGGGAAACCAGTTGGTAGTTTTTACATGGGGATCGAACACTTGTTTTTTTTTTTCTCTCTCTTTTGTTCAGCGGAGACGTGTCCCCCATCTGCCAGGACGTGGAACTGGAAAGGAGGAAAGGGGTATTCCCGGGCGGGGTGGAAGTCCTGTAAGGATAATATGTAACAATAGATGGAATCTTTTGAGCAATAGAATAACAACTGCAATGGGATTCTCCTCGGCAACTTCAGTCTACAATGTAATTTTATGTCTACCAATACATGAACCATGTGTACTTGGGAGGGAATTGGACTGTGTTTCCTGAGGGCCGTGCATACTGAATGCCATCACGGCGTCGAAACTACTTCGTACTATACGAAGTGGCGGTTGGAGATCAGTGGGGAAGAGAATCGTTCTAGTAGTTCCGCCCCCTTTCACTTGATCCAAGAGAAAGTCTATATGGAGTAAACACATGTGGTTTAGTATGGGATGGGGAGAACATATGGGTGGCACTCCCCTCGGAGCTTTCAACACCTACGTAAAAAAGATCCAGTCCGGGGGCTTCGAAGGTTTATCCAAGAAAAGGATAAAGACTATTATGTGACAGGCAGTGGGGAACCGGGGAACAGAAAACCGGTTTTCTGGTGAGTCGCGGCTCCGCGGGTCCCCATCAATGACATGGCAGGCCCGCACAGGGGCGCAAGTTGGCGTGGCGGTAGGAGAAAGCAAGATGCAGGGGGGGATAGTTTAGAGTTGGGTTCTCCATCTTTAACGTACGGAGTAGGTTACAACTCCTTGAATTAGTTTACCATGTTGAGTAAACCATGAAGCTCGTATTGGAGCAGGTGCCCACTTCGTCTTCTGGAGCTCGAGTCAACAAAATCGGTGGAGGGGCGAGGGGAGATGACGAGATGCAAGGGCGTGATTCCTCCTGCGAGGATAGTGAAGCGGTCTTTTCGAAGGGGGTATGAGATTCCTATGCTAGTCCAATTCTTGTGTCGGTGAAGAGCTTGTTGAATCGATTCTTCCTGCTCCAAATCAACTTTCGGATTGGGGTCCCGCGAAACACACGACTTCTTGAGGTCTAAACTAGACATCTCTCGATGGAACAGCTCTGACGATGAACGAGGTGTAGGCAACGAAACGCTTGGACTATGTAAATAGTATGATGGGCTGACATATGGGGTGAAACGGGATTTTGTCGACGTCTTGTCTCTCCCGGAAGTAAGATCCAAGAATATCCAAATCAGTTGGAGGAACGTACGTCACCGAAGTCCTCCTATCCCGGAGGTGAAACCGAACTTCCACGAAGGATGAGGAAAGCACACCAACGCCGGGATTAAGAAATGGTGACAAATTGGCATTGATCCCGATCAACGTCCCAGTGACAAGATAATCCATGCCATCCCATCTCAACTAAACTTACCTCACTTCTTCGTCACGGAGGACCGTCCCGTCACATCCCGTTCCATCCCATCTCACCGCTCCCGTTGCACAGCAGGGCGGGGGTCATTGCAGATTTTCGCCTTCGAATCTCATCGAGAGATTTTTCTTGTTCAGCCGCATGGGTCGTGTGAATTCTTGAGTCTGACCATTCGCGCGTCAGCTCTCGAACTGGAATATGGGGAAGGCAAGGGCGCGCCAGGCACCTCAAGTTAATGACGTCATTGTGGTGAGATTTGTAAGCGATGAGTCGAAGGGCGCTGTTCAGCACGTCCAAGCAATTGTCACTGGTCATGGTGGCCCTGGTCTTGGGCTGCGCTTGTAATACAACAGCGCTTAGATGGAGTTGAGGTCTGCCCATTTCCAATATTTGACATCCCAGAGGGAAGAATCGGGTGGACATGCCGAAGAAAAGCTGCCGTGCCACCAACACGACCCTACGCCGAAATGGACAGTTGAGAGAGGTGGCAACGGGCAAGTAATCGAGTTCAGATCATCTTACGCACTGTGGGATGCCTGTCTTTGTATCGGAAACTGCAGGGCACTTCCTCTTCTTTCCTGACTGTACATACGAAGTACATACAGTCGGACGATAGATGTGAGGTGGCTGCCTCGCCGTGTTCTTAGGCGGGAAAAAGAAAAGCCGACATGTCAGGTTCCTCGGCTTCTGCTCTCCTGGACGAAGTCCACACTAGATACCGTGGGGCATGTGTGGTTCCTAGAGTTCCTAGAGTTTGTTTTATGCGGGTCATAGAAGGTCGGTAAAAGACCAACAACTAAACTAGCACAGGAATGTCTCGTCTGTTACCTACCTACGTGCCACTGCCACACAGTGGCCCATGGTACCAGACTCTTGAAATACAGACTCACAGTTCGTACACACGACAGGAAATGTTTCGCTGGCGTGGCTTAATGTCAAGCCGGACCGACTGCTGCCAGGGAGAGTGTTGCAATGGACGTATGTCGGTCTAATACCCCATTCCCACCCGGCCAGTATGAACGAACAATGAATACTTTGGGAATCATCCGCCTGCTACAAGAACCAGGTAGGCGATTTATTTCAGTAAACTTTAGATGTGGTCAAGGCGATTCTGCCCTGACCTGTCTTGCTGATAAGATGGAAGGATGAGAGGCCCGTTTTTAGGCTCCCGCCTGCCGCCTGGGGCGCGTGACCCCAAGATTGTGCAGGCTCTCAGTAAAGAACAGAGGGAACTTCATCCCCGTTTATCCAGTGATTACTGCTGCACTCGGGTCAGTGCGGTCCGTCCAAAGCAACGAGGTGCCAAGTCGGGACTGGGCAAGAGAGCACGGGAACATCCCGTTCCCGTCGGTTAATATTCAGCATCGTAGACTGGAGGCTGGTGACCACTATTAGTCTATTACGAAGCATTAGAAGATGCCCCCTTTCCAGCTCGGCCAACGCAATCAACAACGTTCTCCATCTCCTCATATTTGCTTCTTTGCTTGAGGAAGCCAATAAATTACTTAACAGACACACTATACACAGGTAAATTTTGCTCGAGTTGTCCCAGAGAGAGTTCCTGGAAAAGGTCTGAAACCCTCAACGAGGCGCGATTGGATCCATGAGCCGAGGACCAATTAGAGTTTTTGGTTCGTGTAAGTGCCAAGGGGCTTCTTCCAAGGATCCAAGGAGACAGCGATCCACTTCCAGCCTTCAGGGGGAGATTCTGGGGTCCGGGATTGGAGACTGGGCAGGGTGGGGTCGAAGGGGGACATGACACTACGTCATTGTCCTGTGCGTTTTTTTTTGTCAGGCAGAACGAAAATCAAATTGCTTCGTACGAGAGAGTCGAAGACTAGGCGCAGACTGGAGTGCTGAGACCACCACCAGGTGGGCTTCAGTGGTCAGCTTTAGCGGCCCGTCAAACGATTCCCAGCGCGTATAGAAAGGCCTCTGGGATTGATTGATCTATGAATAGGTTGGAGAACGGTCGGTTAGTCAATAACTGCCGATTCCCTACGCCTTTTTTTTCACTCAGGGGGGCTGCGATTAATATCCGGGTGGAGGAGTAAGGTACTTCGTACTCACCTCAGCACAACGCAGTACACGACACCGTGCCGAGAGACCTAGTGGCTACGACAGTCTGGAAGGGCCTCTGGATAATCTAGTTTCGCCCCGGTACTAGAGACAAACAGGATCTGCAATTTAGATTGTGGAAGAATATTGAGCTTGTAGAGTTAGTTTAGTTCGCAGAAGCCTGGGAAGCAGATTGATGTAAGGCGGTGCAACTCTGTGCTGTTCTCAATCCTCCTTGATGACAACTTGGACCGGTCTGGACTCTTGTCTTCGTCACTCTTACCTCGTCGAGATTTCCGGACTGCGCCTTGCCCCCCAAAATTAGATGTACTTCGTACTGTATCCAGTGCTGAAAAGTATCAATTGAAGATAACATTGAACCTACCAGTAGTACATCACTGCTTCATTTTGCAGGGTACCTGTACCTCTCTGCAAGTATATGAAGGACAAAATCGAGATGGACCACAAGGCGGGAAGCCGTTCATGGAGCCGCACGATCTGCACAAAATCATCGCTAACTGGCTATGAATTACACTACAGTCCGCAAGGATTGTACTTGACATAAGACCCAGTTTTGAAAACCAGGGGCAAATGTGAGTCCTCAGCGCTGTGGGAGCTGTAAAAGGAATGAGAGAAAAGAGAAAAAAAAAAAAAAAAAAAAAAAAAAAAAAAAAACAGGCTCAACAAGAAGACGTGTGAGTGAGTACTGAGGTAATCTTAATAGTTGAGATCTGCGATTGGCGGTTAGGGGGGATTATCGGAGAGAGGCGGGACCGGAATGATGAAATAGTGGCTCCATTAATGTTAGTGATTCGATCCAGAGTTCTACCTAGGCAGGTTCAAGTTGAATCAAAATCCTTACGACATCGTCTTCTCTGCAGGCTCCTGACCGCTTGTCCATGCTGGGAGGCATGTGCTCGCATTGTGGTGGCAGCATTTCCTCTTGAACGTGAAATGGGAAGAAAGAGACATCGATTTACAATAGGAGTGCGCGAGATACCTAATGGAAGCGGAGGCGGCATGACCTCGCGCGACCAAGAATGCCCGGCTGTACCTGAATCAAAATAGATTGACGGATTCTTACCACGAGACTTAATTCCTCGGGCATCGAGGCCAATATCTTCGTACAAATCTGGTCTCCGCAAACCCGGCATCGTGGTTTGATGATAGCCAAGCTTTTTTGGTTCGACTGGCCCATCCGAAGCCGAGCCGGTACGAGATTCGCCTCGATGTCGAGTCTAGGGTTTCTTCCAGAGCTTCTAGCGGCCTTCAACGATGGGGTTGATCGGTTGAATAGACCCTGGAATAAGCCTAAAGTTGGTGTGATGCCGACAGCTCGGCGACAACTGGGCGGCATCGTCATCACTCAGCTGCTGGGGGTACATAGCATCAATGGCTGATCCTTCAATAGGTGTTGATCAAAATCATCTGCGTCCTCGTTGCCTCCGTTAGAACAATGAGGGGAGAATAGATTAGATTTCCATGTTGTGTATAATATTTTGATAAATAATACCGCAATGCTGAGGTCAATCTGTCTTGTCGAGAATTGTCCTGAGGTACGGTCAAGAACGAAGTCCAATTGTACTTTGAATGAGTCGAAGTACATACTGTGCGTACCAGTGTACCAGTGTACTTCACAATGATTTACAATGATTTCACTTGCCCACCCCGTACCTCCATTACCGTTACAGGCAGGAACAGTGCCCGACATTGGCCCCCTGCTACGGAGCATTGATAATAATGGCAAGTGCTCGTTGCCCCCAAGTTTCGAGTTTGACACATTCATCATTGATCGATGCTGCCCTCAATCTCTCCGATGGCTTGCCCTCTCCCCCCCTCCTCCTTGTCATTGACCACACCGCACGGCGCACACCGCCCACCGCCCACCTTTTAGCCCCCCCCCCCCAAATTCCACTCTCACCCCACCACCATTGCTTCGACCCAGATTCGACCCAGATTCTGTGCGTGCAGCAACTCTGCCACTAACCCCATCGGTGCCTATTACGGAAACCATCCCCTCCAATATTAAACATCGCAGACCTTTCTCTGGGGCTTGCCCGCTCGTCATCCGCAGATCCTTCCACTTCCTCCATCTTCCCCTTTCCGCCCTCATCAACTTCTGGTCCCGGTTCTTCCTGGGCTTCTCAACCACCTCAGACGGAGCTGTCACGCATTCTGCATAGGGATTTTTTTCTTCTTTTTGGCGGGAGCATCATGTTAATGGTGACTATCCTCTAGCCATCCTCGAACGTTGTCGGCCAATTTCGCTCGGACGTCATTCTTGAGGAATCTTTGCCAGGAGCAAAAAAATAGATACTCCACCCCGCATATCCCTTTACCCACGCCGCCGGTCGACGCTACTCATCGTCTCGCGGCACCCCCGAAAAGCACGCGACCATCCTCCTACATATATCAAGGACCAACTTTCCCAACCACTCTGATTGTAAAAACCAAGCCTTCTCTCAAATCTCCAACGTCGAGCGAGGCCCGAATCTGCTCGCAAGCAAACTCGACAACCCCCCGCTGCAGTTCAAAATCAGTGATTCCGGCCGGGCATCGATTCTATGTGGAACATCTTGCCAAATTCGAGCCTATTCAGTGGAAGCTGATACTCTCTTTGTGCACACTGCCCCGCTTAGCAAGAACCAGAGGAGATCTGTCTGCAGTGTCACCATCAGCACTACAAGTGGTACTGCCTCGGAGACCTTGCAACGACGTAATTGACTGCCCACAGCCTCGACGCTGCCGGACGCTTCAATATACTTCGTATGATCGCATCAGACGCCCCTGGACTGATCACCCTAGCCCCGATTCTCGCCACTGCCATACAAACCATTGGCCAGGCGACTGCCCCGAACATACGCCACTACTCTAGTTCCATCACGGGAGCCTTTCGTTCCGACTGCTAAACCACATAAACAAGGCCCCTTTTTTGAAGAAAACGTCATAATCCTCCAGGTCTCCCGCGGCCGAATCCGAATCGCAAGTCCTCTCACCCCGACGGTCTCTCTTCCTCTACTTCTAACTCACCCTGTTTCGGGACATGAGGTTAGGTTTTGCCACCGACCAAAGAGCTTATTCTCCCATTGATACAAACCATACCATACCGTCACTCTTCAGCTAGTCGATATCATGGAGCTATACACGCGGTGTTAGTTTGAGTTTCGCAGCTCCTCGAGTTTCTCTTTTCAGAAGGAACTGAACTCGTTAAGCTCATTCAATATTTCACCTCCCAGCGACCCCACAAACCATGCCGGATTCGAGAACCGAACGTACACCCTACCGCTATACTCTGAAGACCCCGGGGAGACAGACCCCTTCAAGCGTGTCACACGGATCTTCCCACTCTCACTCTTCTTCCTCAAATACTCATACGGGGCCCCCTTCTCTTCGTACCTCGAAAGGCCCGCGGCCTACCACACCATCGACCTCTCCTAAAATGCCTTATTCAGTTGGCCAGCCTCATCCCCCGAGGTTATCACCGGGGCGCGGTTCCTCCGAGAAGCGCTCTTCAAGTCCGAGCTACTTTGGCTTGGTGGTGGATGATTCCGTCGACCCGCGAGACTCGTCGCAAATGCCCCGTTACAACTGGAGTCCGCCCTCATCATCCGTGAAGTCATTTGCAACTGCTCTCCCCAAGCCGGTTGCTCTCGATGCCAATCCCGAATTCGAAGCTTTTAAGAAGCAGGTGGATGCTTATCGGGGAAAGGGCATCAGTCTCTCAACCACGACGTACATGTCTCAGCCTTCGCTGACCCCAATCAAGTCGCCGGTCCGGCCCAAGCCACCTCGCTGGCAATCCTACGCCAATGATTCTACAACAAGCTTAGACACGCCCTCCACTAAGGCGGATAGTAACTGTTCTGCACAAGCTGACCGCATGGATGTAGACCAGGATAGCTTGCATGACTCAGCCTATGTCTCTGGGGATTCCAAGCGAAACTCTGAGGCCTGTCTAGCCCCGCTCCCGAGCGTTAACCTGTCGGTTCCCGATTCTGTAGACGGGGACCTCGAATTACCACAGCAACCCATGATCCTGTCCAAGGTCGAGAACAGAGATCCCCGGTTATCGACCGTGGGCAACCGGCCCGATATGATATCCCCGCCGATCTGTTCCAACACCCCGAGGCCGCATTCCACGCCGCCAAAGACCGACGGTGGCCCGATGATGATTATGCCGAGTCAGTTGCGCGACATGGAGGAGGATAGTAACATACGGATGCTTCTTCTCGATGTCCGGTCGGCCCAGAGCTATGCCCAATCCCATATTCGAACTGCACTGAACCTCTGTATCCCGACCACGTTATTAAAACGAGCCACATTTAATCTCCAGAAATTACAACAGACCTTCCAGCGCCCAGAGCAGCAGGGGCTCTTTTCTCGATGGCGGGAAACGGACTGCCTGGTTGTCTACGACGCATTCTCCTCGGAAAAGACTGAGGCGATGACACCGATGAATATGATCAAGAAATTCACCAACGAGGGGTACAAAGGCAGCACGTACATTCTGCGAGGAGGCTTCAGATTATTTGAAGAAGAATATCCCGAGTTGATTTATGCTCCTACCCCCGATAGCCCTGTCTCGCCCAACGGGACTTGTGCCGGTCCCCTAGGCTTGGCCCCCGTGATTGGCGGCGTCCTCCTTCCCGTGGCCTCCAACACTCCGAATCCCTTCTTCTCTAACATCCGGCAGAATATGGAGCTTGCCAATGGCGTAGGTCAAATGGATATCGAGAAACCCAAGGGTTTGGAATCGCCCACCCTTCCGCGATGGTTGCGAGATGCGGCGGAAGCAAAGAACCACGGCAAGAAGGTCTCGGACAAGTTCCTGAATATCGAACTTTGCGAGCAGTCACGGATGAAGCAAGCCTACTCGATGTTAAACCGAGATCCCTCGAGTTGTCAATCAGACACCGTTCAACTTTGCGGGATTGAACAAGGAGGGAAAAACAGGTACAAGGATATTCTTCCCTTTGAACATTCGCGTGTCAAGCTCCCGTGTCAGGGCGATGGGAGATGCGACTACATTAATGCCAGCCACGTCAAGGCATCTGGAAGTAATAAGAGATATCTCGCTTCCCAAGGCCCTCTTCCTGCGACATTTGAGGTACGCTATCTAACGCTATCTATCTATATGACCCCGAATTGCAGTCGTTTCGATATTAACTTATATTTTCCCTTTCCCTTTAGGATTTCTGGTCTGTCATATGGGATCAAGATGTCCGGGTCATCGTCATGTTAACGGCAGAGTCCGAGGGTGGTCAATTAAAGTGTCACGCGTACTGGAGAAACCGAGAGTATGGACTGCTTAGGCTCAGGATGCTCTCGGAGACAAAGGTATCGCTGGACATTGACAAGAAGCCATCGAGCGACTCGCCTACGCCACAGCCACCAACTTCCGCAGCAGAAATGGGCCGAAGACGCGCCCATACTACGACGGCGTTTGATGCGGCCTTTTCCTCGTCGGGTGCTAGCCCGCAGGCTCAACGCTCTGCTGGAGAGTCTCCCTACGTCATCATTCGGAAGTTTGCCCTCTCCCACGCAGCGCATCCATTCGAGCCGATGCGAGAGATTACACACTTACACTACCCGTCGTGGCCTGATTTCGGCGCACCGGCGCAGCCATCTCACCTGCTCGCGCTGGTTCAGCTGGCTAATGCGATGCAGCGCGGTTCGCTCCCGGTTGAGACGACATCCGTCGGCAATTCTAGGAACCCCAACTTAGCCTCCATGCCGTGGACCGACGAACCGGAATGCGATCGCCGAGCGAGACCGATGCTCGTTCACTGTTCGGCCGGATGTGGCAGAACGGGCACATTCTGCACCGTGGACAGCGTTATTGATATGCTCAAGCGCCAGAGATTGAGCAAAAGGAATAGCAAGCTCAACAACAGCACGGCGCACACGGGCACCGACAAAGACGTAGACATGGATGATTCAACTCCTACCCCACGGTCACCGATATCTCGCATGTCGTCGGCCACGAGCCCCTTCTCTGACAGCAGTTCTGGGCGGGCTTTGCTAAGTCGGCACTCCAGCGCGAAGACACTCTCCAGACGAACATCGCTGGAGACCCCTCCGCTCGACCTCTCTTGGATTAGCGACGACACGATCGACCTGGTGCAGCGGACGGTCGAAGACTTCCGTCGGCAGCGTCTTAGTATGGTGCAGAGCCTACGGCAGTTTGTGCTCTGCTACGAGACGGTCCTCGAGTGGCTCTGGAGGGTACAGGACCGCGAGAATAACGGCGATATGGCCCACCGGGGTCGCATGAGGAGTGGAAGCCTTCAGGTTCGGAGAGAGGGCTAATATACATACGAGACCGGGGATTGTGACGTCTTCTATTTATACGTTGTTACGATACATGGCATGGGAGGAAGGAAGAGACATTGAATATTCAATTGGAGTGCGGCGTATAAAAGGGTATTCTTCCTTTTTTTCTTTTCTGGGAGCGCTTGATGAAGGCGAAACGAGGCCGGCAAGCATGGGAATTATAGAATGGGCAAGAGCTCAGAAAGCATTGACGGGGATACAAAATTCCGAGTCATTTCTTCATGTTTTCCGCATCGAGCATATCTAATTGTCCTTACTCTTTCTCTTCTTTTCTTCTCTACGTCTACTTCTACCCCCTTGGGGAACTGGTTGTGTGTGTATGTGTTACGGCTTCTAGATATTATCGTTTCCCCTGCCTTTCCCTTCTTCTTCTTTCTACTTTTACGATTTCGATTCGTGAAGGTACATCGAGTTATGTGTGTATTTTATATATGCAAGGGAGGAAGCCCGAGAAGAAGATGGTGACGTTAAAGGGGATTGCATTGCATGGGCGGTACTTGATAGGAGATAAAAGAATTGGAATATTACTCGAGTTGAATTCGCGTTCTTCTCAAAACATCACTGACGCCCATGATCCATGATTCTGGGACTTTCTTGGAGATGTCGTCAAGAAAGTGGACGGTGTCTTCATCGTATGTACACCTGACGTCGGTCAAAGACAATTGGAGGGAAGCGTATTGAGGATCTATTGACACTGTATACTTCGTACACATTATTTTCTTTGCGTGTGACATGGTTGTGCACAGTGCAAAAACCAGACCTCACCCGAGGTGGATCGAAAAGAAGGAGACAAAAAAAAAAAAAAAAAAAAAAAAAAAAAAAAAGAGAAGTACAAGTCCATGCTTGCATGACCTGGATGACCAGTCTGCGCAAGCTTGCCACGGAAGAGACGTGAATTTTCCCCCTTTCCTAATCTGCCTCGCGACATATTCCACCATTGGCGACTACAAAAGGGCCAGGAATTAGTTCTACCTGCCCAAAGGAGATGGTCATTCGTTTTCGAGTCTAGTTTTCTCCTCTTTCCGGCAGTTTCCCTTTTTCCTCCGCCTGCCATCTTTGGCGGTATGGTCTAATATCTTAACCATTTAGCGAAGCAGACACCAGCCGAGTGGTCTTTTTGTTCTCGACGCCGGACGACGTATTAGGAACGGGGGGAGGGCTCTTCGAAAGAGCCAACCCAGCTCGACTGAAGCGAATTCCGCCATGAATCCATTCGGACAGCTGGGCTTGCGACCGTTTGCGGCAGCGCGCGGCGCGCTAGCGAATATCACGACAACGACGATTAGGCGACAGCTTCCACGAGCAGCGAGCGCGAGAGCGGTTTCCACGATATCTGCTGCAGCTTCCGACGCATCCTCGGTGCTACGACGGGCGACACCAGCGAGGCGTTCATCTTGGACCCGGGCTCCCGGAGGCCGGCGGCGCTGCTTGCATAGCTCTAGTGGTTCTGGGAAAAATGGATTCGGCTTTGCGGACTCCCGTAGGAGGGAGCTTGGCTCTGCTGCTTCTGCTGCTGCTGGGAGGAGCTTCAAGACGAGGGCTTTTTCTACGACGTGCGCTCGTTCGGCCTACAATTCCCATTCGTCAAGCTCAGCCACAGCTGTGAGGTATAGGTGGTCGTCGCTGTATAGGTAAGCTTCCACTCGGGACGGACCTGTCGGGTTCCTTTTCTTCCTTCTCTTCATGTTGTATTACCCAATTGCAGACATAACGCATCAGTCCGTCTCCCTCCATCGTCCTGGTGTCTCTATGTGGATTGATGTACTAAGTTTAAGTACAAACGTCCTGATGTGGCAGCTTGTTCACGAACCACGTGAGTACGTGGTAGCGACGCTGGCAACACTAGCGATACCGGGTACCTGTAAGCTTTGCAGCTGGTCGACATCAGTTGATGACGGCATCAATCGATCGATTGCTGCGCTACAACGGGAGATGTACCCCATCTTGTCCCCGTCCGGTCCCCGTCCTGCCTCTGTCCTGCCTCCATGCTCCCTCCATCTTTGGTTGGTGTTGGTACCTTTGCTCTGAGACCCAAGACCAGACAAGAGCGGCCCAGACCCAATCTCAATTGAAGCCCCTCATCTGCCCCCACCTGAACTGAACTTATTACTTCATTCATATTGATTGATACTTTCCTCGCCGTTTCTGTCGTCCGACCCGTTGCAAAGCGCACATCCCCAACCAAACAAACAAAAACCTGCCGACTTCTTCGTGTTGCTGTCTTCTTCCGCATTGCCAATTATCTCCCCTCCCATCTCATCCATCAATTCCATTGCTTGTCACAGCACAATTCCTTGCTCGAGACCCCTCCCCCTCTTCATCATCATATAGCTTCTTTTACCACCACCCACCACTATTGCTATCAGGAGCTGAGCTGAGCTGAGCTGAGCTAACCCCGCCATCTCTGCAAATCCCAGCCATCCCAGCTTCCAATCGTTCGCTCGCAACCCCGCCTTGCTTCTCTCTTCACCCCAGATCTACTGCTCTGCTGCCTCCCACCGTCACTGCTCTACCATTGGAACTTCGACCAAAGCTATCGAACTCGGATTACTGTCAACCACAATCATGGCTGATCGCGATATTCTCCCCGATAACCTCAAGCCCTCCCACTACGCCCTGTCCCTCCGAGACCTCGAGTTTCAGAACTGGACATACCAGGGAACCGTCGACATCACCGTCGAGATCACCAAGCCCACCAAGGAAGTCGTCCTCAATGCCCTGGAAATCAAGCTCTCGAGTGCCAAGGTCACTGATGATGCTGGCCAAGAGGTGTCGTCGACGAACTTCTCCTACGACGAGAGGGCTCAGCGTGCCACCATCGTCTTCGACCAGGAGCTCCCCACAACCTCTAAGGCGGTGTTGTCCATCGGCTTCGAGGGTATCATGAACAATGAGATGGCTGGTTTCTACCGAAGCAAGTACAAGCCCGCCGCTCCCGCCGCCGCCTCTGTTCCTCGAGACGACGACTGGCACTACATGTTCAGCACCCAGTTCGAGTCGTGCGATGCCCGCCGCGCCTTCCCCTGCTTCGACGAGCCCAACCTCAAGGCTACTTTCGACTTCGAGATTGAGATTCCCGAGGACCAGGTTGCTCTCAGCAACATGCCCGTCAAGGACATCAAGAAGACAAAGGATGGCTGGCAGGCGGTCTCCTTCGAGACGAGCCCCATCATGAGCACCTATCTTCTCGCCTGGGCATTTGGTGACTTTGAGTACGTCGAGGCTTACACCGACCGCCAGTACAATGGTAAGACCATCCCTGTCCGCGTCTACACGACTCGCGGTCTTAAGGAGCAGGGCAATTGGGCTCTCCAACACGCTCCCAAGATTATCGACTACTTCTCAGAGATTTTCGACATCGACTACCCCCTGCCCAAGTCTGACTTGCTTGCCGTCCACGAATTCACCCATGGCGCCATGGAGAACTGGGGTCTCGTGACCTACCGTACTACCCAGGTTCTCTTCGACGAGAAGAAGTCCGACGCGAGGTTCCGCAACTCCGTAGCCTACGTCGTCGCCCACGAGCTTGCCCACCAATGGTTCGGCAACCTTGTCACCATGGACTGGTGGGATGAGCTCTGGCTCAACGAGGGCTTCGCCACCTGGGTCGGTTGGCACGCCGTTGATCACCTCCACCCCGACTGGAAGGTCTGGGCCCAGTTCGTCAACGAGGGTATGGAGTCTGCCTTCAAGCTCGACAGCATTCGCGCCAGTCACGCCATCCACGTGCCCGTTCGTGATGCTCTCGACGTCAACCAGATTTTCGACAACATCAGCTACCTCAAGGGATGTGCTGCCATCCGCATGCTTGCCAACCACCTCGGCGTTGAGACCTTCCTCAAGGGTGTCTCCAACTACCTGAAGAAGCACGCTTACGGCAATGCCAAGACCTCCGCGCTCTGGCAGGCTCTCAGCGAGGCCTCTGGCCAGGATGTCAACGCTCTCATGGACCCCTGGATCTCCAAGATTGGTCACCCCGTATTGAGCGTCAAGGAACCCTCCCCTGGCGAGATTACTGTCCGCCAGTCTCGCTTCCTCGCAACCGGTGATGTCAAGCCGGAGGAAGATGAGACCATTTGGTGGGTCCCTCTCCTACTCGAGGGTAAGGCCGGCGCCCAGGGTGTCCAGCCCCTTGCTCTTACCACCAAGGAGGAGACCATTGGCGGTATCGACGATGACTTCTACAAGCTCAACTCTGGCGCTACCGGCTTCTACCGTGTCAGCTACCCTCCCGAGCGACTCGAGAAGCTGTCTAAGCAGCTCGACCGCCTGAGCATCGAGGACAAGATCGCTATCATCGGCTCTACTGCCGACCTGGCCTTCAGCGGATATGGAAGCACCCCCTCTCTCCTCTCCTTTGTTCAGGGCTTCGCCAAGGAGACAAACTACATGGTCTGGAGCCAGGTCCTTGACTCCATCGCGCGCGTCAAGGGTGTCTTTGGAGACGATGAGGCCATTCGCGCTGGATTGGAGAAGTTTACTGTTAAGCTCGTGAGCGGGGCCGTTGACGAGATTGGTTGGGAGTTTGCTGAGGGCGAGCCATATCTCACCTCTATGTTGAGGAAGCGGTTGATTGCCACTGCTGGCTTCAATGGACATCCTGGGTATGTATTCTCCCCGACCCCTCCCCTATGCCTAAGTATGGCTTGCTAACTCAGGACAACAGCGTCACTCTCGAGGCTCTCAAGCGTTTCAATGCCTGGTGCGACGACCGTGACTCGGATGTCATCCACCCTAGTCTCCGTCTCGCCGTTTACAACGTTGCCATCAAGAACAACCCCGCCAAGGCCGTCGAGGTCCTGAAGAACGAGTGGTTCAACACCAAGTCCATCGACGGCAAGACCATCTGCCTCAGCGCCCTCGGCGCCGTCAAGGACGAGTCCATCATCCGTGACAACCTCCTCCCCTTCCTCTTCAACGCCTCCCCTCCCGCCCCCGTCGAGAACTCCGTCCCGTCGGCCGACATGCACGTCCTCGGCATCGGCCTCGCCGGAAACCACATCGCCCGCGGCATCCAGTGGAAGTACCTCCAGGACAACTGGGCCGCCTGCGTCGCCAAGCTCGGTAACCCCATCGTCCTCGACCGCTTCGTCCAGGTTTCGCTGCCCGGCTTCACGAACGCGGGCGTCATCGAGGAGATTGATGCCTTCTTCGCCGATAAGGATACCAAGGCTTTCGATCGCACGTTGCAGACCGTCAAGGACAAGATTCGGGGACGGGCGGCGTATCGTGAGAGGGATATTGAGGCTTTGCGTGAGTGGCTTACGACGAATGGATACATGTCGTAAACGAGGGGGGATGTTGGAAATTAAAAATAAAACAAATGAACCTAGATTGGGATTTCTAGGCTTGTAATTTGAGTTGGGTTACACACGAAGAAGAGGGGAGAAAAGTCCTTCTAAAAAAAGAAAATAGCCTTCTAGAGATGGTTGTAGAGGAGAGCATACGTTGACTGAAGGAAATAAAAATATATTGTTTTACGCACCAACTCCGCCAGCGTCTTTCTGCAAAGCGATTCCGTCAAGAAGTGCTAGAAGTTATGTTTTGGGCTCGTTGGTTAAACTATCTAAGAGAAGACGGAAGAAGAAAAAGAGAACGCTATTATGATTAGGGTATCTAAATCTATTACTATATCCCACGCTTTTCCAAGTTCCTTCCTCTTAAAACTCCTACCCTTTCCGCCCAAGGCCCTTAAGGCGGCGACACATCCGACGTATGCTCCTCCGAATCCTCAGCAGAAGTCCTCCCCAACGCCGCCTGTCCCCCACCTCTCTTCCCCCCCGCCACCTCCTGCTCCTCCTCATGCCTATGACTCGGTGAAGGCGGCGCATCCTCAATAGAAATCTTCCTCGGCCAATCGGTCGCAATATCGATCGAGTCCCTCGGGAACCACCACTCGAGGAATACGAAGAGCAAGTAGTCGATCGTAACGACGAGGCAGAAGAGTTTGCCGGCCCAGATGCCGCAGCCGTAGTATCGCTTCAGGCGATCAATCATGGCGAAGCTGGGGATGCGGGAGCGGGTGTCCGGGCGGGAGGCGTCGGAGCCGTAGAATTCGGCTTCGGAGATCTCACCTGTTATTCCGTCGTAGACGCGTTCGGTGCGGGCGGCGACGTCGACCCAGGAGTAGTACGACTTGACCTGTTCGTGGAAGAGTTCGGTGCGGACCTCGCCGGCGCGCATGCGTAGTATAGCGCGGCCCGTGGCGGCGACGAGGTCGTCCTCCTCTGGGTTCGCGAAAACCGTCATGTGGTCGGGCAGCACCTCAGGAATGCCGCCAACGCGCGTCGACACGACGTACAGACCACAACTAGCCGCCTCGACCAAAGCGGTGCCAAAGGCCTCGGTCAAGGAGGGGTGCAGGTAGATGTGACCCCGCACGAGCACGTCGCGGACCTCCTCATGGCGAATGGCCCCGAGCATCTCGACGCGATCCTGTAGGACGTTCTGCTCGATCATTTGTTGGAGGTCGATGGCCTTGGGCCCGTCGCCGGCGATGATGAAGCGCGTGTTGGGGTGGTCTTCGAGGATGCGGGGGATGGCGGCGGTGAGGAGGTCGGTTCCCTTGTTGTAGTAGAGGCGGGAGATGACGATTATGGTGATGGTTTCGCTGGGGCGGAGGGGGGTTATTTTGGAGGAGGGCTTTTTGGGGCGGAAGCTGGCGGAGACGAGGGCGTTGGGGATTGCGGACACCATGAGGGGGTCGAGAGAGGCGCGGAGGACGGTGTTTTCTTTGCTGCAGGGAGAGAAGGTGTTAGAATCGGGTTGGAAGGTATAGATATACTAAGACATACCAAGTATGGCTGACGCAAATGACGTGGTCTACGTCGCTCAAGCTAAACTTCAGCAGCTTATTCGCAAGGATGCTCCCAATATCAGCGAAGCCAAAGAGTGAATGATCCGTATACACGGTCCGAAGGCCCATGGTTCGCCCATGAAGGATGGCCTCGTGGGCCAGGGCGCTAAGGGCCGCATGCCCGTGTACGATCTCGATACATTCGCGGATGAAGATGTTGCGGAGGATGGGAAACAGGGAGAAGACGGTGGGGAAGGCGGCGTTCCGGTAGATAACGGCGAAGGGAATGTAGTAGACCTTGAGGCCGTTGGTGAGGTAGCGGACGCCGTTGCGGTTGCCGTAGGCGTGGGTGATTACGACGACTTTGTGGCCGCGGTCGATGAGTTTTGTGGAGAGTTGGTAGATGTGGGATTCGACTCCCCCTGGTTGCGGGTAGAAGAAGTCGCTGACCATGGCGATGTTGTAGGAGCGGCGAGGCATCTTGGCGGTTGGGGGAGGTTCATGGGAGGGGCTGTGTTTGTGGAGGAGGTGTCGTCAACTGAAGCGCCTCCTGTAACATTTTCTGCGGTCTAAGGCGTGCGAGGTTTTTTGACTCTCTGGCGATATAAGTGACTAGCGATTGAACTAAAGCGACCCGGGCACGAGCTACGAGATGAGATGTGAAGAGGTGAGAGGAGAAACGAATAGGGGGTAGATGTTCATAAGTGCGCTCTAGAAACGAAACAAGGGAGAGGCTTGGGAGGGAGAAGAACCAATTAAGATGACTAGCCCAGCTACTCAGTTCATCGATAATCCATCATCATAAGCAGATCGTGAGTCCCAGACTGCCTGTGAAGGTGATGAAGTCTGGGCAGTGGGAGGCGATGATGTCGCAAATTCTTGGCATGTGGAAGGATCCAAAGCACAGCTGCCGTCGCCAACCGCTACCAAAACTGTCGGCCAGCTGGCCAGGACAGGTGTTGGCAGTGCTAGCTAACAGGAGACCCGAGTCCTCTGCTCTTCCACTAAGACCCCCTGAACCCACCCACTAAATCTGTCAAGAGTAGCTCCTTCTAGAAGCACCGCCATCTGGCGCCAAGCTCTGAACTTTAAACCAGCCTTTTTTGCACCAATCGAATGCGCCTTCCTCCAATCGACTCTGTGGCCAACCCCTCCAGGAGCCTTGCAGATCTTGTACTGTTACATAATGCTTATGCGAATTTTCTTTGTGAGAACAGGTACCCACATGTACCAAATATCCTCCAAACTCTCACGACTTTTTACTGCAATAGTGCTAGCTGTCCTCTTCAGAGCATCAATGAGGCCAGATTCCCACTCAAGCCAATTCCAACACCTCTTCTGATCTTTTGTTTCCCACAACACCCTCTGCTTTGTTTTTCTTTCTCCAATTCATTTCTCTCTCTTCACTACATCTCTGGCCCGCGGCCATTCCTACCCACCTTCCCAATTGATGCATCCATTTCCATAACCACGATCCACATCCTCCAGGTTCAAAGTTCACACTCTCTCTCCCGCAGGAGCTAGGAGCTAGGAGCTTTCTTGAATTTGTGTTTTCCATCCCCGACTCCTCCCACTCAGATACTTCGCCATGGCTCTTGCCAGCAAGTTATTATCGCCCCTCTCCCTCTTCCTCGCCGCCGCCTTCTTCCTCTCCACCAATGTCGCCGCCGTCCCACCAGTCCTCGGCGTTGACCTAGGCACCGAATACATCAAGGCCTGCCTTGTGAAGCCTGGCATCCCCCTCGAGATCGTCCTAACCAAGGAGGCGCGGAGGAAAGAAGCCTCTACCGTCGTATTCAAACCCGAGCGCGACGGCCTCAAGCCCGGAGCATATCCAGAGCGATTCTACGGTTCTGATGCGGTCGCCTTGGCCCCGCGATTCCCCGCCGATGTGTATCCCAACCTCAAGCACATTCTCGGCCTCCCTCTGGACCATTCCATCGTTCAGGATTACGCTGCCCGGTACCCCGGCCTGCAATTGGAGGAAGACAAGCTCAGGGGCACCGTAACTTTCAAGAGCAAGGCTTTCGGCGCCGACGAGGAGCCTTGGACGGTTGAAGAGCTGCTCGCCATGCAGCTCCAGAACATTCGAAGCAATGCCGAATTGGCTGCCGGCGACGGTTCCTCTGTCCGATCCATCGTCCTTACCGTCCCTCCCTATTTCACCACCGAGGAGAAGCGCGTCTTTGAGCTCGCCGCCGACCTCGCCGGGCTGAAGGTCATGAGCTTCATCAGCGATGGTATGGCTGTCGGTCTGCATTACGCCACTTCGAGGCAATTCCCCAATATCAACGAGGGCGAAAAGCCCGAATACCACCTCGTATTCGACATCGGTGCCGGCTCCGCTTCCGCCACTGTCATGAGGTTCCAAAGCCGAACCGTTAAGGACGTCGGCAAGTACAATAAGACGATTCAGGAGATTCATGTGTTGGGGAGTGGCTGGGACAGGTCCCTCGGAGGCGACGCTTTTAACTCGCTCCTCGTTGATGTCCTCGTCGACAAGTTCGTCCAGAGCCCGGCGGGCAAGAGTGCCTCCGCCACCGCAGAGCAGGTCAAGAAGAACGGTCGCACCGCGGCCAAGCTTTTCAAGGAAGCTGAGAAGGCCAGGCACATTCTTAGTGCCAACTCGAATACTCAGGGAAGCATCGAGAGCTTGTTTGAGGATATCGACTTTAAATACAGCATCACTCGCGAGGAATTCGAGACCCTAGCCGCGGCGCACGCCGAGAGCATTGCTTCCGTTGTCAAGGATGCCCTCACCCAAGCTAACCTCGAAGTCCCCGACCTCACCTCCACCATTCTCAACGGCGGCATTACCAGGACGCCGTTCGTGCAAAAGACTCTTGCCGACTTCCTCGGCTCCTCCGAGAAGATCCGGACCAGCGTCAACTCTGACGAAGCCTCCGTCCTCGGCGCCGGCTTCAAGGCCGCCGATCTCAGCCCTGGTTTTAGGGTCAAGGAAATCAAGATTTACGATACCACCAACTACCCTGCCGGTGTCAAGTACACAAATCCCAAGGAGAAGCTGCAACACCAGAAGTTGTGGAATCCTACCTCCCACCTCGGCAGCTCCGAAAAGCAGGTCACCATCCCTAATCACGATGACCTCTCCCTTACTTTTTACCAGCAAGTCGGTGACCTCGAGAAGGACACGAGCATCCTGACGACGAAGAACCTGACTGCTAGCGTTGCGGAGCTCAAGGAGAAGTACTTGTGCGATGATACCGACATCTACTTTAAGCTCGGTGTGAAGCTCGCCAGTGAGAACGGCGAGGTCGTGGTGTCCAGGGCAACGGTCGAGTGCGAAGGCGAGGTTGCTGAGAAAGACTCGATTATGGATGGAGTCAAGAACCTCTTTGGTTTTGGAAAGAAGGAGCAACAGCCTTTGGGCGACGATGCTGCTGCTGCTGCTGATTCCGAGGCCAAGCCGGCCGATGCCGACGCCAGCCCTGAAGCTGCCGGGTCGTCTGCCGCTACAGAGTCTGCCTCTTCGGAGGCTGCTGAGGCTACACCCGAAGCTGCTGATGCGGATGCCAACGCGAGCGCAACCCCTCAGGAGAAGAAGAAGCAGCTTGTTGTCATCCCTGTCGACTTTGTCCTTGAGAACGCCGGCATCCCTGCGCTACCCAAGGATCGCCTCAAGAAGGTCAAGGACAGGCTCAAGGCCTTTGACGCTTCCGATAAGGCAAGGGTACTTCGCTCGGAGGCCATGAATCAGCTCGAGGGCTACACCTACAAGGTTCGGGACTTCCTCGAGAACGACGACTTTGTCGCCGCTTCGACCGAGGAAGAGCGCACCAAGCTCCAGACCCTCGCCAGCGAAGTCAGCGACTGGCTTTACGAGGATGGCGCCGATGCCCCTCGGGATGAGCTTCAGAAGAAGCTCAAGTCGCTAAAGGGCATCGTTAACCCCATCCAGAAGAGGGTTGACGAAGCTGCGGCGCGTCCCAAGGCTCTTGAGACCCTCAAGGAAGTTCTTAGCCAGACCGACACCTTCATCGACACGGTCAAGCAGCAGATTAAGGAGTACGAGGACTGGCACTCGTCGTCCTCGGCCTCGGCGGCTTCTTCCGCTACCGAGGAGTCCTCTACTACCGTCACAGAGGCGCCATCCAGTGAGCCTGCGGGGGACTTTGATGGTCTTGAGGATGATGCTACGACGACGTCCGTCACCACGGCTCCTACTATGGAGGACATCCTTGAGGACCGCGGCCCCGTCCCGCCTCTCTATAAGCTTGAAGACATCCAAGTGGTAGAGAAGCTAGCCGAGGACATCAAGAAGTGGATTGCGGAGAAGGAGCCCAAGCAAGCTACGCTTCCTCCCACCGCTAACCCCGTCTTACTCGTCAAGGACATCAACAGCCGAAGGGAAAAGCTCGACAAGGCCGGCATGGAGCTCGCCATGAAGGGCGTCAAGAACTTCGAGTCCAAGAGCAAGAAGGCCTCTTCCTCGAAGAAGGCCAAGGCCGACAAGAAGACCAAGGCGGATAAGGACAAGGCGAAGGAGAAGCCGCAGGAGGGACCCACGGATGAGGAGATCCAGGAGATGTTGAGGAATATTAAGGAGGGACCCACGGATGAGGAGATCCAGGAGATGTTGAGGAAGATTAAGGAGGAGGAGGCTAGGGATACGCATGATGAGCTGTAATGGGTCTTGTAATGGATATGAGCATTTTCCTTTTTCTCTCTTTTTTTTTTTCCTTACTATATCTCTGATGCATTTGGTCCTATTTCCTTGTTCTCTGGTCCTTTTCTGTGTCTCGCTGAGATACGATATACTAGAGGCATTCATCGCCGGTGGGTGCGATGTGAATATCCCCTTGGGCCCGGAGTTCTTTGACAGTTCTGTTGATAAATGTTATTGCCGCTTATTTCTTTTTCCTTCGAATTGTTACAATAGGCATTCAACGGGGTTTACGTTGACTACGTGGAATAGAAATACCAACTTTCTCCTCTATTTCTTGGTACTTGTCATGCATTAATGGTCTTATTCTCCTCTCCCCTCAGTTGTGTATTTTCTGTGTGTGTGTGACTCGAGATGGATGGCAGTTTGCTTCAAGTTCTACGACGCTGTTGTCTTCGGCTGTTGTGTTTCGTCTTGCACACCAGGTAGGCTCAGACGGGCGGTTGTCTCTCTCGGGTATCTCCTAAGTTGGCATTACTGTGCTGTGCTTGTGGTCTAGATACACAAGTGTGGGAGAGAAGGAGGCAGGACGCTTGCGTGTAGGTATCCGGATCGGTGCAGGCGTGGACGAGACGGGTGCAAGGTTACATGCGGAAGATGCAAACATGGGAGTGGGAGAGAACTAGAAACGTTCGACGAAGCAAGTGTAGCAGGATATGAAAGATATAAGGACCAGATAGAAGGGACGGAGAACGGACTAACGCCCGAGGACCCTTCAAGGCTTCTCTTTATACCGTCTCAAGTCCCTGCTCTAACTCCCCTGAACGTTTTAAGTAGGATCGAATCTCTAGAAATCTCGAGGATGGTCTGTCTTCGCATGCTCATGGCAGCCTTGTTGACGGTGCCGACCTCCCTCTCCACCTTGGAGCAGAGAAGCATATCTCTCAGGGCAATACCGCCGGCTAGACCTAACGGTTTGGTCTCATACGTCCATGCACACCAGAAATGGGCTTCTCGATGCCTAGGGGATGGCAAGGCGTTCAACATGCGGATGAAGAAGCTAGCAGGTATGTGTTCCTTTTTCTTTCCACCCTAGGACGTGTCGGTTCCTCCGTATTCAAACTAAACCCTTTTCTTCATTCAGATTTGGGGGAAGAACTCAAGGCCGAGAGCCGGTTCGGCGATGCCTTCTTCACGATAGAGGTGGCGGTGGGAACTCCGGAACAGAAGCTGCCGATGATTCTTGATAGCGCTTCTGCTGACTTGTGCGTGATCCTTCCCTCCCCAGTCCGAAGCATAACTTGCGTGTAAATTCGAGATGCTGATGTGGTTTTGTTTCTCGGTGCAGCTGGGTGTATTGGACTGAGTCTGACTTTTCGGATCTCAGGCCAGGGGAAGAGAAACCTAAGGTTTATGATCCGAGCAAGTCGTCGACCTCTGATATAATTCCCGGCGCAGAATGGAGTGTCTACTACGGTACGATGTAACACCCCCGCCCTTCGAGGAAGAAAGGAGAAAAGACAACTGACCGTTCGACACAAGCCGACGGCAACCAAGCCAGCGGCTCCGTAGCCCTCGACACAATAACCCTCACCCCCTCCCTTCAACTCCCCAACTCCACCGTCCAAATCGCAAACACCACATCCTTCTACCTCGCCACCTCCACCATCACAGGCCTCATCGGCATGGCACGCGCCCTACCCTCTACCATCCGGGGGTGGAACGCGCGCACCGTCCGCGCCCAGATAGCTTCCGCCTTACCCCTCGACGAGCGCTTCCTCGGGATAGATCTCAAGGCGAACAGTTCCGAGGGGGCGTACATCTTTGGAGATGTAGATCCAAGGGCGTATGAAGGGAACATTACGTGGTTTGAGGGCGAGGATCCGGGGAGTTTCTGGACTGTTTTTGTTACGGGGGTAAAAGTCGGCGGCGGTAGCAATTTTACGAAGAATGGAGGAGGAGGAGGAGGAGATAGGACGAGTAAGCAACGATTCGACCCCTTCGCCGCCATCGTCGACACAGCTACATCCCTCATCTTCCTCCCCGGCGCCGTGGCAAGCGCATACTGGGTCGACGTCCCTGGCGCCCGCCTCGACGCCACCTTTGACTCATGGATCTTTCCTTGTTCGGGCACCGAGGAGCTGCCGGCTTTCACGGTGGAGATTGGCGATGGGGAGTTCGAGGCCCTCGTGCCCGGCAAGTACATGAACTATGGCGAGATTGATGAGGATGTCTTTAAGAGGGTTGGAAGTGGTGAGGAGCCAGGGTGGGATGAGGCGATGTGCTTAGGTGGGCTGCAGTCTTCCGGGGGCTTGGAAGTAGCAATTTTGGGGGATGTTTTTGTCAAGAGTTTGTTTGTGGTTTTGGGCCTGGAGGATGGGAAGATTGGGTTTGCGAGGAAGAAGTTGGACTTAAAGTGAGGCCAGGGAGCACTTCTGATCCATCATCTTCACTATGCTTCAAGAAGTCGAACCGAGGGCGGAGCTCTCCCACCAAGATTGACAACGAATTGAGCAGAATAATAGCAGCATCAGATCCCTTTTGGCGGTACCCTTTGTCTAATGTAAACGGTTCCATTAAATAAGATAAAATTCGTAGATGCCCACACCAATTAGCCCTTCGAGCAGGTAAACAGTGAAAAGAGAAAACGAAAATATAGGCTGGAAAGCAAGACAGAGAACCAAGACATGACTGTGGAAGACAACCCGTCAAGGATCCAATCCTGACCACGAGGGGCATGAGAGAAATTAAACCCTCAACATCTCCCCTCCCGCCTCTCCAACCTGTCTATCTGCAATGTTGAACAGGCCATAATCCACACTTCTAAAACAAGAAAACCCCTGTTTAGAGAGGGGGGAGAAGCTGCACAAAACGACGCCGAACAAAACTGCAAACATGAAAAAAGCCTCACTCATTCTATTAATCTTGACGTTGAGGAGTCCAAAACAAAATCAATGAACAAACCGCCTTCAATGATACACCACGCCTCACCACAATCCTACAGCAGGCCGTTCCCAGCTGCGAGCAAGTCCTTACTCTGTAGGGCTTTTGAAATAAACAGAATAGGGAGGGTATCTTCTTTGCCACGCAGCGGCCGCCGTTCATCGCCGTTCGTGTAAGTCAAAAAATCGTTCCATCGTGCCAAGGTCGCGCGCGTAATGCCCGCCCGTAAAAATTAAGTGCCGTCAGTTGCTTCGTGGAGTATGTAAAGGGCATGGACATGCGAAGGTGAGAATAGAAAGGCCCTCCGCGCCATGTAGTATTAAAAAAAAGAGACCGAGTCTATCGAATCAATTTGAAAGAAGCTTTGGAAATTCGAAAGTCCATGGTTCGATGAGTTGGGTGGATGGGTCGCAATCAGAGAGCTGATTTAGATGTGGTCCTCGTGGTCGCCATCTATCGCCGGAGCAGCAAAAATGACCAAAAGTCAGCATAGTTCTCATCCTGTTTCATCTTTTCCCCAAATATATGGTTTTAACGTGGATGTTCTTCATCTTCCCCTCCATTTCCACCTCTTTCTGCTGCTCATATGGGTATCGGGTATATAACGTTGCGAATGTCATCTCTCTCTCGTGTTGCTCTCTCTACACGCACCATTTCCATTCTGCTTCTTATACATGACGGTGCTTCTTATTCTTCTTTCTCATGGCTTTATCTTTGAGGAACATTGGGGCGGGCGTCTTCGTCATCATCGAGGTCATCCCGGTTCACGACTTCGTATTCACCTTCGCTGGCCACTGGAGTGGGTGGCATATCTCCGGCGCTCGGCGCAGGCCTAGCGTTCATGGAGCTTCCCGGGCGGGATCTGCTCTTTTGGAACTGCTCATCGACTTGCTTGGGTCGGTGTACGTTCTGTACTTGCTCGGACGAGCCGTTGGTGGCTTCCACAGGAGCGGAATTGGGATCGTAGTTGGGGTCGTAGTTTGGAAGAACTGGGCGGGATAGCCTCGCCTTGGAACGGCGGAGGCGGTCTTCCATTTCACGGATACGCTGTTCCAGGGCCTCGAGCTCATTCGTCTGGATGGAGACAGTTTTCTTACTGATAAGTGGGGAGGGAGATGTGTGTTAGCTGTCAGCGACCAAACCAAAGCCCCAGTTGCGGGCCGGCAGACTGTGCCTTTCCGCTCCTGAGGGGGAAACACGGGTAAAAAAGAGTCTGGAAAGAAAAAGGGGGGGAGTGGGTGAGAGGAAAATGATTCCAACGTACTGCTTGTCGACCCGTTCGTCGAGGTCGGCTACGCTGTTCTCAATCTTGAAAATGTCCATCAGCTCCGCAGAGAAAGAGCGGGCAATGGTGCTACACAATCCGAGTCAGTTAAGGCGTTCCGGCGTGCGGTGCTGCGCTCTGGGCTGTATGTCGGCACATTGGAAAGCGAAGAAAGAACGAAGTGATACGCAAGGATTGGACTCACGATTGAGGGCGGCGGCCATTAGGCTTCCAGTCGCGATCGAGTTCCTCATCGGTCAAAGTCATTTTGGCTTGAGAAGGGGGCCGGTAGGACGTCTAAAATGTGCTGCTGAGATGGCCGGTGACGATACAGATTAAGGTCGAGCTTCACCAGAGCAAGTTCGTTGTACAAGGAATTGGCGAGAAAAAGGGGGGGAAGAAATAAATCGCAACTTGCAGAATATAATCTGGGAAAGAAAGAAAATGGCAAGGGCAGAGAGTTATTAGGACCAATTTCGAGGATGGTGGATCTGGGGTGTCCGAAATAGATGTGAGGTTGACGGGTCAGGGGGTGGGATTGGCAGCGGAAATGGGAATGGAGAGACTTGAAGTTGAGGGGTTCAGTTCAAGTTCCAGTTCCAGAGGAGTGCATTACCGTCGTGGATCGAGGTTGATACAATCGAGGTAATGGCCGACGCTGGGTCGCAGACTCACAGCCGAACCGGGTATTATTACTCGTCGAGTCTGGTATTGTTACCGCTTGGCCTAGCCAGCCTGAAGCCTCAGTGAAGCCTGAACGTTGCCTGGATCGTGCCCTGTAACTCTGCGAGGGAAAGGGGAAAAGGGGATCGGCAGTCTTGAGGCAGGGGTCCGGAGCGATGAAATGGGAATGGGGATGGGAATGGGATATGGGGAAATGGGGAGACGAGGAAGGGCCGTGTTATAACTTCAATCCAAGTACATCCAAGTACGCTCCTGCCACAAGTACATGAAGAAAGGACAAAGTAGTGTACGAAGATACTTTTCGAGACGAGACTGGCAAGGCTCGTTTTGTGTGACAGACGAAATCGGAAGTCGAGGTGTCTTCAGTGTTCCTTCCCAATGAGAGAGGAAAGGAGGTTCTCTGTATCCTCTCTTTCGGGTCCCATACGCTTGTACATTTGGAGTATGACATGGGGTACAATCATCTGTACACGACGAGATGAATGCTGACCTGGCAGGATGACCTCAATGCCCCGAAGTGGTCGAGGATGATTCGAGGGAATAGATGATGCATTGTATTACTCCTGCTTCGCCTTGGTAAACTGCGCGAGCATTAGGGGAATGGAGCCTTGCCATAAGAGTGATTTCATGCACCGAATCCATCTTAGTCCTGCCTAATCTTGGGCTACAAAGTAAACTATGTGAAATATGACCACATTTCGCAATCAACAGAAACATACTACGTACAAGCGGTGTACTTTGGTAAGATGCTGCTTCGTACATTGAACAGGAGAGGAGAGACGAAGTATCAATGTATACTCGGGTCCATTGTAGTCTCCACAAAATATAATGAAGCACGCAGGGAGCTTTGTCTTGGCCCGTCAAGATAACATTGCCTCTAATGCAATCCCAGTCAACGCCATCTCCATACTCGTGGGACTACGTCAGGGGCCAGTCGTCCAAAATGGATTAGGGGTCGTTTCTGCTTTGGGAAGACCCTCGACCAATTTAGCGGCCACCGCCTACTGATAGCTCTTCTCATTCTGTCTCCTTCGTCCTTCGTCCTGGACTGATGATGATGTCTCTTGATCATCTGCCGAGAAACAGACTTTCTGTTGTCTCACTCTGTGAACTTACAGGGCTTCCGAGCATCTTGGGAATAGAACCATTGCATCATTGTCGTAGGGCAGCCTTTCCTTCTTGAGATTGTGAACGCTGACCGCAACTGCCAAATGACTGATTTGGCAAACTTGACCCTGTTTTCTGCTCTTGGCGTAATGACGAAGTCACAAGTCACTGGGGGTGGAAATTGAGACTTGACAGTCCAGCCAATGGTAGTATTGTGTCTCACCAATTTGGTCTGGCTTCGAGACTACGAATTTATACTGAAATTATAATTATTTCCCACACAGCAGTCGCCGCACTTCGACGTTCAACACCAGAACGAGAAACCACGGTGATTTCTTGTGACATAATGCATATCCAAGTCCTCTATTCATATTGCGTCAAGGCTGGCAGCGGCTGCAATTTTGGGCTGCATTGCCCGAGAGTGGAGGAGCTCCTGTCGGGACGATTTTTATGCACCTCCTTCCGAGACCGTCATGCAGGGTGGAACTAGGAAGGTTGCCGCCAAGAGCAAATCGCAATTTGCGGCAACTCATTTGCGGGACATCCTTCGTTACTTCTCCAGACATGTACGAAGTCCTTCGTGGTTTCCCTTTTCGATGCTCTGCAAGATCGCGTATACTTGCCTCCACTCACTGTACTTCGTGCATCCTATCCTCCTCCAAAGCAAGTACGGAGTACGAAGGGTGGAGAACGTCAAGCGGCCAAGTATTTCATAGGTCCACGACCGATGGTCACGCCCAACACCCACGGGAACCCCAACCAGGCATATCCGAGACTCTGTCACATTCAAGTGCATGTCCGCCAACCTGTCAAGTGCTCGAACTGCTCGATCGAGCTAGCCACCTGTAATCCGATGCACGTCGGGTTTGGGCTTGTGCCATCGCCATGTGTCAGCCTTGTAAATCCTCAGCTGAGCCGTCATGCCGACGGCTAATCTAGACACTACAGAAACATTCCACAGGCGATCAAGCCAGGTGGATGTGGCTCAAGTTTTGTCAACCGGGAAGCTAAAGATGGCAATAACCCAAAGAAAACAACCTATATCGCCGTCCATGATGTGAGTTCTATCTTCCAACTTTATCCGGAAGCTATGACATGGGAACTCGATCTAGGCCGTCGTGTTCTTCGCCGCTATAGTCTTCTTCTAGTCTAAACCATCACGGATTACCTGCAGGCGAGCATCATCACCAGAACAACACGCCATGTTTGGATGAGCTATGATGCCTGGAGACACAGTCCGGTTGCCCACTTCCGTTGTCAACTTGGACGAACAAGGTTTCTGTGTCACTACACACCCCTCTCTGTCTTTGTGACCCGGTTTTGTTTATAGATTACGATAAACTAGGCTTCGTGAAAACATTGATCCAGGCCCCTATTGACACCCCGCTCTCATAGGGACGAGGTAAAAGTCTCCAGGTAATTACCCTAATGACCGTATCTCCTCGTTGTGCAACTGGAGCATAGTTGCCTGTTCTGTCAGGCTGGGCTCTCAAGGGGCTTTCAGGGTGCCAGCTGATGACATCCGACTTAATGCAGGTCCACCAGCTGTCGGGAGGGCATCGGGTTCGGATTCTTTGATATCACGTGATATCGACTGGGTTCAGCTCTGGCGGTTTGCGAAGCTTGACAGATTGATTGATTTTGACTCCTCCATCTTCATCCATGCACCCGAAGCCACCATCGCCGACACTGCACAAACTCCCATCAACACCCACGCGCTTATCAAATCTGAGATCAACCACCATACCTCCCACCTCCGTCTCACGTGATCATCAGCGAAATTCTTTCATGATTCATCCCATCGCGAAAACCCAAAGACGTTGACATCGAATAACACACCCCGAGAATTAATACGACAGACGGTAGTCGCAATTGCTATATCGACATCGCGGCGCGCATACTTTTCGCAGCATCGCTTTATCCCAGCAGCCTCGCCTTTGGCGCCCCCCCCCCCCCCCCCCCCCCCCCCCCCCCCCCCTTCCCGCCGCATCACCGAGCTGTTTCTCGAAGCCTTTTGCACGTGAAGAAACCGCGTCTGTTGCTCGACATCTCGATTCCGATCGCCCGCCCGAGCTCTTGATGACCAATGCGGTCACATCTCGTCCGCGTCCACCACCGCACTCGCGATTGATCTCGAACAACCAAACCCTGGCGCCGATTCACTTAATCCAGAGACGTGCCGATCCCCTGGGTCAAGGCCGTGGCGGAGCCTACCAGGGTATGCATCCGCTCTCCGAGTACACAACCTTCGAAGTAGTCTTCTTCTTCCGCCTCGCCGACAAGCACAACCAAAATATCGACCTAGTCTCTGCCATTCTCAGGAGCCATCCCCTGGTCACCCAGGAGAAAGGCTACAATGCGGACCGTCTTACTCCCCCTTCCCTCGTCAACCTGGTGAGGCAGCTGTTGGAGGAGGACCACCGGATCCAGGTCGAAGCCAATGGCGATAGAGTCCCCTCGAACACTGCGAACCTCATCAAATTCAACGAGCCTCCACCTTCCGACGATAAATTAATCCAAGATGCCCTCGAACGTATCTGGGCGCGGTTCTGGAAGCGTCTATCCGACGACCTCATCAAGTTCGTACACGAATGCGACGAGAAGGGTAACAACCTGCTCAAGCAGATTGAAGAGCTTAAGGCGCTCGAGGCTGGAGCGAACCTGATGAGGCCCGGCGTTGGCGCGCCAGGTAGGAATGGCGCCCCGACCGCAGCACAGCAGATTCAGGCTAGGACCACCGCCTCGCCCCTCGCCCCACCTGTTCCCGAGATGATAAAGAAGGGCCCGAGTCCCGTCCCGGTTCCTTTGCCTTCAACCTTGACGCCGAAGAGGGAGGCTGTGCCAGCCGGTCGGACACCACAACAACCGCACCATCCACACCCGTTGCGGCCCCTCCAACCAATGTCTGTGCCTGCCAAAACAAACGAACCTGTACGGTCTAATGGCGCCCCTCAGGTATTGCAGGCCCCGGCTGGCGTCTCGCAGCCTCTCTCTCCGTTACCCCAACCCGGTCGTCCGGCTTCTCCGGCCACGTTGACGCCTAGGCCCGTCGTGCGAGCAACAACCGACGCCGCAGGGAAGCCCAAGCTCCCACCAAGTGTGCCTGGCCAAACACCAGGTCCTCCACCTCTCAAGTGGGAGGCTCCCTATCAAGGGCCCCAACAGCCCGCCTTACAACAACAATCACCACAACAACGACCTCTACAGCCGAGTACCGCGAGACCGGCCCCCCCGCCTCCAGCGATTCAACCACCACAGCCGCAACCACCAGCGAAATGGCCTCCAACAGCCGTTCCTTTGCCGCCCCAGCCTGGTACTGCCGTACCAGTCCCGGCTGCTCAATTCCCAACTCCGTCTACCCCTACTCCTACCGCTACCTCTCACGCTGTACTAGCACCTCCTCAGCCGGCAGCGCAACTTCCTCGGGCCCAGGTTCCAGCGACCGCGAAGCCTATACCAGCCGTCTCGGCTGCGCA